TGATCTTATTCTCTCTGTCGCTCACACACACTCTCACACACTCACACACACACACAGCCAGGTCGTGCCCTTCTCGTGTTTCCTTTGACACATGGTAATAGATTCCGCTGTAGCTCTACGCCTCGGCTAAGTGGCCTCACCTTTCACTGAAAACAAATCACTCTCTTTCTCTCCCGCTCACTCACAATACACACACACACACACACACACACACACACACACACACACACACACACACACACACATTTCCACCTCCAGCTCTCTCTTTCCTCACACTCTCTTCCCCTCTCTCCATTTTCTCTTTCCCCCTCTCTCTCCTCTTCATCCACGTCTCTGACCTTCCTCCTCTCTCTTTCTCTCTCATCCCTGTCCCATGGGTGCTCTCCTCTTCCTCGCCGTCACTCAGCCCACCAGCCTTTTATTTCCATCCTATCTCTCCTTTTCTATCACCTCCTCTTTTTCTCACTTTCCCTCAGTCTCTTTTTAACCTGGTCTCATCTGTGTCACACAGAGTCATTGAAATGAGTCATTCATGATTTTTATTTAAAATATTAAATTTGTTTATTAATTAAAAAGCACAATGCATACAAAGTAAAATGATTATTGTTACAACTGCATCAGACATCTGTATTATTGTTGTAGTATATTTAGTAGACATTGTAGTAGTATTGTGTGTACAGTACACACACAAACAGTAGGGTGTCTTTGATTTTGAGTTTGTAAATAACTGACTGTCATAATTATCAGATGCACAATCTCACTTTAACAAATTATAGTAAAACAGTTGTTGCTGTATCATCAATCTTATTTATAATTTAAATTGTAAGTAGTTGTATTGCTTTACCATTATTTTCTCATTCATAATAATTTAATCTTTATATATTGTAAGTAACACGATAACGCGATGTATTTTATTTTATTTTCATCATTTGTTGTTTATTATCTTACAGTCATTATTTTAGAATGCATAGATTGTAATTTAAAGTATGTTTGTTGCATTTTATTTTAAGCAATTTGTAAAAATAATTTTTTAAGTTTTTGGTCATCAGTATTATCGTTTATAAAGGAGTGCATTGCATACATTTTCTTTATTCCAGTTTTGAGACATTTCATTGTTGTTTTACCCCTTTCTGTTCTATTCAGTAAGCATTCAGAATATTTAAAGTTTAGCATCATTTAATTCATATTTCTTTAAAATTCAACCAGATACGTTTGGTCAAACTTTGGGACAGTAAAGATTAATAAAAAGACTGCCACTTAATAGAGAGCATGTTTGCTTTGGTTTGTACCATTGTGTATGATGCTACAGACAACCATCTTACGGTCCACACTGAGCTCAACTATTGTTATAAAGTTCTAACAGAAACCAATTATCCCTGAAGAACCCTTGTATATATATATATGTATATATTTAAAAAATGTCCCCCTGGGATTATTAAAGTATTTCTGATTCTGATTCTGATATATATATATATATATAGATAAATATATATCTATATATATATATATGTATGTATATATATATACACACCGTTCAAATGTCGCCTGCCACAAAAGCTTGATTTGGTACAGTCAGATGGCTGAGAGGAGCACTTCATATTTTTAAATGGTCTTTCATGCTTTTGTCCTCTTTACAAATTGATGTTATTTTGTGTGAAGGATTTGCAACAAAAAAAAGTAATATTTTGTACATGGTGAACAAAACGCTGTATAATTGTTAAACAAGACTGACAATAGAAAGGGCAGAAAGAGACAAAGAACCTCTGACCAACATTTAAATAAGAATATAAGAAATCACCAGTCATTGGTATAAAGATACTGGACGCTTGTAACATCAAAATCCAGAAAAAAACGGGTTCCCAAATTATTTAGTTGTGGTTCAATAATGATGATCTAGGGTCACTTCCAAAACAAATTCAAAATGGAAGTATGAATGACAGTATTCTCCTCTGTCAACATCAACTAAAAGGAAGTTTTAATAATTCTTCTTCTTTTGGGGCCAAAACTATTTCAAATGTAAATAATATGTTTGCTGTCTGAATTATGTTTTTATCTCTGTTAAAATTGCCATTATTGATTGAAAGAAGAAAAACATCAACATAACTGGTGATCTCAAACCTTTGAGCAGTAGTGTATTTTTATAAGTAAGTATTTTCAAATAGAAGTTCTTCAACAAAATGAAAGAATTAAACATGAATGGATAAAGGATGATGAGTGCTAGTTTGTAGATTTTAGGTTATGCATATCAATTTAGAAATGAGCGACTTTATCATGTGTTTTACAAGAAAATGAAACATAAATAAAAATAAAACGTAATGCTGTGTAAATTGCTGTGTTGTTATTAACCTTACTTAAAATCCCACATATTTGTTAATAGACACATCAAACAATATTTAAGATTTGATTAATGTTCAATTATAGCAAATTTTATGGAGAACACTAACTATTTAAAATATAGATTCATTTTTGGTTCCAGTGTTGATGATGATGATGATGAGTTTTTCATATTTTCCAGGCTGCAGGCCCAACTTCAGTCAGTCAGTAGCTTATATAAAGCAAAGAAAGATCACATTAAGCTTATTTTTGTTAGCATACAGTAATAACTGAAGGCAACTCAGATGACTATCTCAGGATCCCATTGCAGGGTTCCACACAGCTTTTAATCGTAATAAAACCTGTATTACAGAACACAGCTTCTGTGATCAGTGATGAGCATTGACCCCACAGGAACCTACTACAGAGACAGCAACTTGGAACTGGACAGGATCTATAACACCACTGCCAAGTACATCCTGACATGTAATGTTTGATAAAATGAGGTGAGACATCCCCCCTGTGGGGGAACTGAATCACTGCAGCTGCAGCCATAAGATGAAGATAAAAATACCACCCCTTTAAAAGTAGGACACACTGATGTTATACTGCTGTATATACAAATAACACCCTTTCTTAAATTTGTTTTTATATTTCAACTTATTTCTAGTTTGACTTAAAGAACTGGTTTGCTGTGAAATACTTGATCAGCCTGCACAGACCCAGACCTCAACCCCATCCAGCATCCTAAGAATGAAGTGGAACACCGACTGTGAGTCAGGCCTTAATACCCAACATCAGTGACCAGCCTGGACCTGCGAAGGCTGAAACCAGAAGGGTGGAGGCCGTTACAGCAGCACATGAATGAAAAGAGAGCACTGCTGGTTGGAAGGGAAACAGCCACAAATATGTTGACCATACTGGAATGACTAATTAAAGCTTTGTGTTTGCTCATGCTGACCTTTCCTTTCTGTCTCTGTCTGGAAGAAGAGAGATGGAAGCAGGCGACACATAAACCAAACTCATCATCAGGAGTACAATGTAACGTCTGCAGAGCTAAAGTCAATCCTGGTCCACTATGCAACTTATATAAGTGTGATGTAGAAAATTAAAGCCACCACTTCATACTTTACAGTGAAGTAGGCGACATCTTGTTACATTGTTATTATTAGTAGTAGTAATTAAAACAAATGAAACAGTCTGAGATGAATTCACTCTTTAAAGGTGGGGTCAGTCATTCTGGAGAAAAATAGCAGATTTTTGAGTCTCATTCTGAGGTCAGCAAAGTGTCCTTATTTGACAACCTTGGATTTTAGGTGAACTAAACCTTTAACTGAACTTTAACCTACCTGAGAATACTGCAAATGTCTTCTTTCAATATTCTGATTCTTTGAAGGGAAAATCACTGCAGCCTTACATGAAGAAGCAAAGGGCGAATAAAGGGTAGAAAGGGATAAATAAAAAGAAGTAAATGCAGAGAGACAGACAGACTGGAGGTTTCTAGAATAGTTAAGATGGATGAGCTGGAAGAAAGAAGAAAATGCTTCTTCTTTATTTCTCTAAAACTCCTTTACTTCCTGTCGCTCTCTTATCTTTCTCTCTCTCTCTCTCACACACACACACACAAAACACACACACACACACACACACACACACACACACACACACACACACACAGTGTATTAGTGTCAAAGCTCTGCAGACAGAGAGCAGCAATGAATGAGTGGATGTTCTTAAGTTGAATTCTCTTCGCCCAGCAACTGACTCACAAACAAACACACACACACACACACACACACACACACACACACACACACACCTCATATCATTCTTACTCTTTAGCGTGCTCAGTATTTTGTCCTCTGTACCTCTCCTTCATCACGACTCCCAGATTCATTCATCTTTCTTTCATCCCACCGTCACATGTGTCGGGGGAGTTTTGGGTGTTTGTGGTGGTTATTGGCGAGGTGTCGTCCCACCGTCACTCTGTCAACTTCCTGTCTGAGGGATTAGTCGTCGCAATGCGGAACAAAGGAAAAGGCAAAATCCCTCTGTTGATCTTTTGTCATTTGGACACGACTTCTCAGCCTTTCTGTGCCCTTTGATGTGCATCCCACGCTTCTTTTTACAATCTCTGTGTGTGTGTCTTCCACCCTTTCTTCCAAGTTCAAACTGATCCCAGGATTTTTTTTTGTGTGTGTGTGTGTGTGTACATAAGTTTGCCATGTCGTTTTCAGTGTTTGAATGTTGTATTTGCAAGCTTTGTGTGTGTGTGTGTGTGTGTGTGTGTGTGTGCGCGTGTGTGTGCAGTCAGTGTGGCTCCAGGCCCTCATGCGTCAGAGGGCCTTTCTCTTTCTGTGGCCCCTGAGCAAACATATTAAGAACTACCTTATCACTGCTTATACAGCCAGGGCCACACACACACACACAACACACACACACCTTAAATACAACCCTAAACACACACACACCGCATTCACAAAAAGATAGCTTTGACTCCAAACACACAAAGCTGGCCGCCAAACTCCCCAAATGTCACCGATCCATCGGGGAGGAAGAGGCAGGGCAAGAGAGCCTTTCAGGTCAGTCATTGGTTGACACTGAGCAATCAGTCAGTCATTCAGGGGCAAACTCGGGTATAAAGGCAAGATTGTTCAGTTGCGTTAGGAAAAGGAACGCATCCGACATACTGTTGACAAGCCTTCTTCAAGAGGCGCATCCATGGAAAATGAACGGAGAGACTAACTTTGTTATATAGATAAAAAAAGAAAGATATTTAACTGTAAAGTTGTTGAGAAGACGTGGAGCTAAAGTAGACGAATACCAATATCTGGTTGAAAAGCTTAGAAACTTCTCGAACTATCAAAACTGAAGATTTTTGTGTATTTTGGAATCGACTTCAAACTAAAAGAACTTGAAACATCAGAATAGGAGGTATCTAAAACAGTTTGATTTGAGATCAGCTTTAAAATCCTCCTAGCGAATGTCTACACCATCTGCAACATCAACACAAAGTGGGAAGAATGAGCTGAGCATAAGAAGAAATAACACAGTCTGAGAACCTATATAGAAGAAGTCTTCTTGGAACAAAACTTACCGTTAGCGCTACGTAAATAACTTCTATTTTTTTCAAGTGCTCAGTAACAGCCGCTATGTTTAACAGTGCAGCACTAGTGTGTGTGATTAAGGCAGCCTTGATGACACTGATGATTCTTGGGACAGGAGTGGAGACAGCACCCACCGAGAAAGGTAAGGAAGCTGTTGAGATATCAGGCAGGACCAGCTAATGCTGATGGAAATGGTAGGTCTCTGGATGCTGGATGCAAACACCCTCAAGGTGCTATGCAGCACGAAATACGGCAAATAAGGTCAAGGATTGGTTACAGATTGGCCACTAAAATGTTTGGTAAAGGTTAGGGAAAGATCATGGTTGCTACACACCATTAATTTCCACTTCACCACATAAGAGACACTTCCTGCATTGGCACAGGATGTAAATTACAAATATGAGCACAATTCCTATGATACTGGGCTGGGAAGAGGACTATGTCCTGTGTATGCGAGCTAAACCAACAGTTATGGTCAGGCCTCAACCAGCCTGACCCACTATTGACTACGCAAATTTACTGAAGGTCTCTTAATGAGCCTGTGGGAGGTGTTTTTACAGTTTTTTGAAGGCTCATGTTGGTTCACCAGATAGTTCAAGCTTTTTGAGCTAGCCTATCCAGCTTATTCTAGGAATCTTGAGCAAGAATAGTTGCTTTGGCTATAGCAATACCAGTGAAGTAGCTTAAAAAACATCAGAACACTATTAAACCAGCAGAATTGTTGCTGGATGGTTCCCAACCAGAGTTTCTCTCAAAGATTTGATTTGATTGAATGGAAATATGCTAAATGACACTAAGTTTTAAAAGTACAGTCTGGACCTGCTCTATTTGAAAAGTCCTGTGATAACTGCTGTTATGATTTGGCGCTGTACAAAAGATATTTGATTTAATTGAATTACAGTAACAAGAATGAAGCATTGATTGGTGGATTATGTGTATCAGTTCATCAATTTTTGTCAAATGAGTCAAAAGTCATTGTCTAAGCATTGGGAAATCAGACATAAATATGTATCAGTTATGTTCATTTATACTGTATGTTATTCTAAATATAACAAAATCATAAACTTTATTTAACTGTACGTTATGTTGTGTAATCAGCAACATATATATATAACATACATACAGTATTTTTGCTTCATTTTACTAATGGGCTGATTAACAATCACAATGTTCTATGGAACAAGAGTGAACGAGATCTGTACATTATTCTAAACTCACTGCCTATATGCAAAACATGGTTTGAATTGACTGATTTAAAATAATGTTATATATCTGTGGCATAATTATCATTTATGTCTTTCAGTCAGATGAATTGTCTGTGCTTAGAATATCATCAGACAATGACTTCCAAGCTACAAATTTAGATTTGGACACTAAATTAATTTGGTAAAAAGTAATTCAGGGACTTTTTGGTCCAGTGTGACCTGCTGACATTCCTTTCATTCCTTACAAAAGTTGCTCTGAGAGTGTATGTGTGTGTGTGTGTGTGTGTGTGTGTGTGTGTGTGTGTGTGTGTGTGTGTGTGTGTGTGTGTGTGTGTGTGTGTGTGTGTGTGTGTGTGTGTTTCATTTTTGTCTAAACACAAACACACTGAGCTGCATTGTTGCAAAAACGTCATTATGCACACACATAAACTCAACTCATACAACTCTTATGTCACAGCTGAAGGTCCCATAGCAACTGTTCTCGCGATCAGCAACGTAGTGGAATCCCACCAAAATTGTGTGTGTGTGTGTGTGTGTGTGTGTGTGTGTGTGTGTGTGTGTGTGTGTGTGTGTGTATGTTTCAGGGTCACGTGACATCAGAAAAGTAAAGACCTGAACTCAGACAGCTTTCTCATTTTAAACCAAGTTTAATCTGAGTGAGTCAAAAGGGAACAAAGGGATGAACAAGGCCCTTCCTTTCCTTGGTTGGAACCAAGAAAAGCTTCTGTGTAGAGAAACATGGACATAACCAGTAGTGTGGTTTAGACAAAAGGGGTAAACTATAACTCTGGGCTAGTGAGCTGCCACCACTATGCATATAAAGTGCACACACTTCCCAATTAAAGGTTGAATCTATAACTCAAATATATACTTGCACCAGTTGTGGGTAAATATTTGCAAAAGGTGACATCAACTTGTAGCTGCTGTCAAAAATATCTTTTAAAACCATAGTGTCCTCAAACCAAGGCAAGATGTCTTTAATGTATTTAAATACACAAAAAAAATAAATAAAAAAAATAATACACAAATCCTGTACTTGAGTAAAAATGCAGATGTATTTAGCATTACAGTGGACAAAGGTACAAAAAATATAAGGGTCTGAAAAAGGGTATCATTCATTCATTGTGTGCTGGCCACAATACTACATCCAAACTCATGAAGTTCTCCTGCAATATAATTGTTTTTTCCAGGCCTTGTGAAGCCTTTACATCCTCTTCCCAGTCTCACTCATGCATCAGCCGTTCAAGAGAAGTCTCCAGCACTAAATCCAAGCCAGTACCTGAAACACTGGCTTCTGAGTACCAAAGCAGCTGGAGTGGATGGGACCACAAGAATCACTGACAGAACCACTACAGGGACTATCACTGTGGGTAACAGGGCAGGCCGACCGAGGGCCAACCCCGGCATAGCCGGTCCAGATAAACGAGCCCAGATGCTGAAGATGATCTCAGCCCTGGAAGAGCTGCACAGGACATTCAACGGTACACTGAGCTCACGGATCACCATCATACCACGAGGTAACGATACTGCGAACATGTTAAATTCACTTACTGATGGCATTGCATTTTAAAACTCCATGAAAGAGTTCATGGCTGTCGGTGAAGACTGTGAGCTTAAAGATGAGTTCAGATGAAGTCAATGGAAAGATGTGATTAGTTGCAGAATCACTGTGTGAAGAAAGACTTAAGGTGAGGACAGGTCCACTTGTGCTTAGAATAAACCCTTTTGAATGCTAACATCACAACCGGAAGCTTCCCAGTACAACCCCAGTCAAATCTAAAGGCCACTGGAGCAGTTGGGCGTATCAGTCCAGTTTCAAACAGTGGACGTCTGTTTTATGTTGCTATGTGCACCTTAGGTCAGGGTTAGCATTGAATGATGTATCTACTGTCTCTTTATCGCCACATAAACCAGGACTGAGCCACTGTGCTGCTCAGGCACATTTTCACTAAAGCCTGTTTTGTTTTTTATTTCAGCAAATGGCAGAAATTCAGGAAGAAAAAATAAAGCAGTAAGTTCCTGTAAAATATTTCTTTTTTACTGACTGAGCATAAATAAAATATTTTTTGTGATTTTACAGTCTTCATTAAACTTGATTAAATTATTTAATGGTAGATGTTTAATTAATTTATTGATGGATGTAAACAAATTATAAACAAAACATTAACTTTGAATCTAAGTTCAGAAGAGCATTTGAATATTAGTTTCTCAATTCTTGCTTCTGGTTGCTGTGGTTAAAGGTTCCTGCTGCTGAGGGAGGGGTGAAGCCCACCACTGCGGCCCCAGTCGACAGCACTGTGTCCAGAGCAAGTGCAGACGTCATCGTCCCCAGTCTGACTGGTCGAAACTTCAAGAAGTCCCTCCCACCGCAGACCAAGAAGACCAACAAAAGAGGTGAAAGTCAAGGGCATGAATTTTGTCTTATCTTTGTATTTTTGTGAGGGATTACAGAAGAATCCATTGCAAGAGCTGTGAGGGAGTACATGGGTTTTATTAAAAAGGACAATGTTCATCATCATGTGCACTCATGGTTGACAAAGCCTCTAACTATTTGGTAACCGAATGTTCTTCTTCTCTGTCTCCAACAGTGTGTTTCTGGAAGTACTGCTCCCAGAACTGATCGCCATCCCACCCTTTCTCTTCCTCACCCACTCTTTATCTCCTCCCAACCATCCAGACTTGAAATGTTACAACGTATCCCTTGATTTCTGAACAAAAATTACATTTACATTTCCAGTGGCAACAGAGTTAAATGAGAATATGGACTGCACTTTAAATTATCTACCGTATATACGAAGCTGGAGACAGCAGCTGCTTAGCTTAGCTTTGCATTAAGACTGGAAACAGGAGCTCTGTCCAAAGGTAAGAATATCTGCCTACCAGCACTTCTAAAGCTCACTAATTCAAACATTATATATTGTTTAAAAACGAAAAAACCCCAGTAAGTCACTGTGCCCAGCCAAGAAAAAGCACATGCCCTCCTGTAACGAGATATAACATGTTACTTAGTGAGCTTTAAAGGTGCCAGTAGGCATATTTTCTTACATTTGGACAGAGCCATGTTAGCTGTATCCTCCTATTTCCATGCTAAATTAAGTTCCCAATTGTAAAAAGTGGGTTGGTGGTTTCACAGGGGGTTGTGTCCTGGACTATTTCTTGGCTGGTACCATTAACTTCCTGGCAGCCAAGAACACAGATGATTACTACACTTTTATTGGCATGAAAGATTTAAATATTTTAGGCCTTCAGAAGCTCATATAGCTTGGACCTCTATCTATCCATCGCTCCATCCGGTCTCCCTTCCTCTCCTCTGACTCTTCTCTGACCTCTGAGTGCTAGGAGACAGTCGCCTTGACATCAGGAAGCCCCAAAGCGGCGCCAGCCTTGACTCGGACCTTTTCATTCACTCGTTAATTAACAAGACTGACCAATCAAAGAAGACGATGTGTGCTCGTGGCCGGGCGCATGAACAAACATCCCTGTTAACTCTTTCTTTTCCTTATGAGACAGACACACGTCGTTTTTTTGAATGTGTGCGCCAACTTTAAAATAAAGTTGATTTCTAGCATGGCAAAAAAAACCACTGTGACAATAAAGATTGATATTTTATTTTTATACACTTACACTCTCTTTAGTTGTTCATTATGCAGACTGACTCACGCTTTGAGGTCCAGTGAGAATTATAAAACTTAAATTCTACATGTAAAAGTGTTTAAAAGGAAGAACATAGAGATAATGTCCTTAAATGTAAATTATATGCTCATTATCGGGGGAGTGGGGGCTTTGAAGTGCAAAATACAACATGTTTTGATTGTATTTTGATTTAGTTTGTTGATTCTGACGAAATAAGATTTCGATTTGATTCAAAATTCATTTTGAGATTTTATTTGTGAATATATACATTTATTTAATTTATTTTTTGTTTTAAGTTTTGTTGATGTGTAAAATTTGTTCTCTTGACATTTTGGGTTTTGGTTTTATTAAAGGTTGTTTTTTGCACTTCCGGGCCCACCATAGTTGCAGATAGTAGTAGTAGTAGTAGTAATTGATCATTCAACAACTCTGACAGCATGGCTTCAGTTTTACATTATGAGTGAAGGATCAAAAAATATATTTGTGATAAACAAAAATTGTGATATTTTAACATAATTAAACACATCTTAATTTGTGAGTTTGTGTTGCAACTCAATGGACCTATAACTCACATTAATTAGCACTGGTTGATACATTTAAATAATCTCCATTAAAAACATTGAAATATAGAAACCGCTAGATTTAGACTACATCAATTCTCAACCAGGACTACAACTGAAAGATCAGACCTTGAATGATGAACTTCAAGTAATTATTTTTATCTAACAACCTGTTAGTGTATTGTGTTGTTTTGTACTGGAACTCAACAATTGTACTATTTAAAGTGTGACTTTACCCAGTGTTATTAGTTCACAGCACCACAATATGAACAGAAAGCCATTCCTTCTCTGGATGTTTCTATGGTAATTGAGCTGTGTTTGCTGTCTGGGTGTGCAAACTGTGGTTCATTACATTCAGAGGGTTCCACAGAGGTCACCATCACTGTTGTCCTGGTGATGAGTGTGTGTGTCTGCACTTGCACGAATGTTAAGTGTGTCTATGTATCTAAATATACCGGATCTTGCAGGTATCATCACATATGCCTTCAGCATTATGAAGTAAAAATACAGTGTTTATAATAAGAAAGCAATGAAATTATAGATTTTGTAGGTAAAAACAGGGCTCATTAAAGGATTGGTGTGTAGGATTTAGTGACATCTAGTGGTAAAGCAGCAGATTGTAACCATTTGAACACCACTCAGCCTTCCACCAAGTGTGTAGGAGAAACTAAGATGGCCGCAAAACTCAAAGGGCCCTATCTAGATCCAGTGCTCGTGTCCGTTCTGGGCTACTGAATCACGGCGGTTCAAAATGTCATACTCCGTAGACGTTCTCAATTCATATTTTCAGGTCATTATACACTAATGAAAACATACCAATATTATATCCCATTTCTGCCAATAGATCCTCCTAAATGTTCCATATTGGAGTAAAGTTTTAAGTTAATTCTATCATCTGCAAAAAGCTTTAAGTGCATGAAGTCTGTACTGTGCCACTTAAAAACATATTGATACTCCATACACTGATCTGCCAGTCAGATCCAGAAGGATAGTCCTAAACTTTAAGAGACAGCTCCACCTTAGGTCTTGGTTCAGTACGCTTTGAGATTTCTTGTTGAGATCTGTTGCTGTTCAGTTCAAGGCAAAGCCTCTGTAAGCACCCTAAGTATATGAGGATATCAGCTCAGCCAAGACCTATCTACATCACATCATGATGACACTTTCAGTAAGCAGGAAGAAGCAGGGTGCATATCGCAGCTGATCTGGTAACAGTGCTTACAGTCACCACTGAGAGGAGCTCCAATGTAAGACGCTGCTGATTCAGTCAGTAACAACAATGAGTCAGTACAGTCAGCTCAGCTGGAGGATTCTGTGTTAAAGACTTGTTCATAAATGTATTCAACATCTCTGCTTCACAAAATTGTTTTGTGAAGTTATTCTTGAGCAATGACCTTTCAAAGCAATTCACTTTCACATTTGCATGAACTGATAATGAGAGAAACACAGAACAAACGTAATGATAAAATCAGTTTAATAAAGATTCTCCGCAGAGAGGATATAAGGCCAGAACACAGCAGGCATGGTGTCAGGGTTGGTTTGGTGCTGATAACACTCATACATCTCTGCCAAACACTGAATGGCTGCAAGACGTCCACGAAAACCCACTAAACCACCTCTGTCAATCAATCAAACAAGTGATTTTAGTTAACTAAAGGTGCATTCAAAGGAACTAGGAAAAACTGGAACATTTGTGCCTTCTCGTTAAGACATTCCCAAAATACCTGAAATAAAATGCCAAATGAGTTGAAACAAAACAAACAAATAATGAAACAGTAAATCACCGTGGCAGGATGCACTGTTTTTAACTGATCAATGTGATTCTTGGAAGACATAAATGCAACTATATCACCTGCTTTTCTGAAAATGGTGGATGCTCAAAGGGACAACAGCAGCAAGGACTTATTTGGACAAGTGACACAGGATTATAATGGTGGCTTTTGAGTGTTTGTAACTCATCATCCAACAGTTGTCATCACCAGTTAAACCAACCAGCACCGAAGCCTGCTCACACTCAGTAGTATTAAGATACAAAGTATGACAAAGAAAATCACAATATGAGTAAATAGTGTCAGTATACATATTCAATACAATTAACTGTTTATAAAATGTACAAATAGAAAAGGCTCTTAGCTAGTCGGGCCTTGACATTAGACACTTAATTTAACTTTCCAATTTGATGTGACTACTGATTCATCATTAACATCAAGACAGAGACATTTAATGAAGGAAATTGAATCATATGATGTATTTTATACACAGTGCATACACTTAGAAGTGGACTGCTGGAGAACAACAAGAGGAAGATCCGTTGAACACTGAAGTTCAGTTGTCTTCAAAATTATGAATGGAATTTTGATCAAGTAAGGCTTAAAGGATATTTCTGATATTTCTACCCAATTACAGAATATCTGCAAATGTACAAAACCAGCCAGAGCCATGGAAGTTGTTTCCAGTCTTTGGCTAAGTTAAACAATTCCTGGCTCATATTTAGCGTACACACGAGCGAGTGGTAGCCATCTTCTCATCTTACTCTGGGCAAGAAAGCAATGTATTTTCAAAAATGACGGACCAATGCATTAATGCATAATTTCAAGGGCCGTAATTGACAATATAGTGTGTGTAATGTTCTTTAATTTCACATTAGTGTTAACGTAATTTGAAATGAGTTTAAATAGCAGATTCCTGTGTATATTAAAGGTTCTGATTAAAATTTAAGTGTTAACTAATCTATAATTCTTAGACAAGATCGTCTTTCTGATACAGTAATACTGAAAAGTAAAGCTTGTTAATTGCTACTTAGTCTTTGCAGTGAACTTGGCCCTGCCATCGTCTAAAAACTGAAAGAAAAAAAAAAAACAAGCACTCAGGAATTAATTCTGAAAGACCTCTAAAAACTGGTTGTCATTATTTGTAAAATGATTAGCATAAAGATATAACTGTGCAACCCAACCTGTGAGAGCACATACACACACGGACACACACACACACACACACACACACACACACACACACACACAAACACGTAATCAATGTTTCACTTCCAAGCTGATGCAGAAAGGGAGTTAATAGATGTTTTAATATCAGTTTCGATCAGACTAGTCTATATCCTGGAGTTTTTATTCTTCATTTAAAATTCATCAGGATTCATCCACCAGTTGGATTTCTTTCCTCATTATCAGTTTCCCCATCCCTTACTTCTTCATGACTCTCATCTCTCTCGTCATGTTTTCTTTTTTTGTCTACCACCTACAGGCATCCATGATAAATCTCTCCATGGTTTACTAAAGTAATTTTTCTCCTCTCTGTTATTTATTTACCCCCATTCTTTCCTCCATTCCCCACTCTTCCTCTTATTTGATTCGTTTTGCAACATCCAGATAGGCAAATTGGATCTCCCTCTCAGCAGGGCAGGTGCTGGTGAACTCCTCCCTCTGATAGGCGGAGTTTAAATACCTCCACACCCCTGACATCTCTGCTGGAATCTCAAAGCCGCGGTATTTCTTGGCTACGACCTGCAAACAGAAAAATGCAAACAGGAGTGAGTACAGGAGGATCATCTAGCAGTCCAAATATTCTCAAAAGTCTTCGTAGATCACTGTTTTCCCTACAATATGAAAATTAGGCTGAATGAACCTTAAGGATGTGTAGTTTAGGCAGCAGGTTGCAGTCAGCCAGGGTGAGCTCAGACCCATCTAGGAAACTCCTGGAGGACTCGGGCAGGTCTCCTGCGGCGTCAGCATCAATCTCGTCAGGCAGGGGAGTCCTCAGGAAGTCATCGAGACGCCGGAGAGACTTCAGCAGGGCTTTCTCTAAGGCTGCAGAAAGAGTAGTAGATTATATTACAACAATCCTCTAATCTCAACCACACCGAAGCTAAACATAATAGTTAAGGCTGCATATTTTTGGCCACTTAGGGGAAGCCGAACAAGCTGAGAAATTATCACCTCATAAAGCTGATATAGTGAACATGTTACAGAGCAACATAAGCATTAATTTAGAGTCATGTTTGTCCAATATTCTGGTTTATGACCAAATATCTGTAAAACTAAGGACACTCCCATCCACCTCAGCTATACCTTGTGTGAAGTGCTAATTGCATGCTAACATGCTAAATTAACATGGTTAACAAGGCAAACATTATACCGGCTAAACATCAACATGTGAGCATTTTAGCGTGCTGACACCACGAGAGTGGCGCACATTTGCAGCACATTTGTGCCGCAGCATAGCATGTGTTACAGTATGACAGTAAAGGGCGCTCAGCCTACACACAGCTTTGCAGGTAAACTCACCAAAAGCTACACCTTTCACATTACACATAGTCGTTTGATCTGTTGTTAACATAAAATGCTGACAGTGTAGCTTTAAGGAAAATCCTATGTATGAGTATGAGTGAAATAATTTAAAGCCAACCCTTACACATAGATGCTCTCTCTCTGTCTCTGTCTCTCTGTCTCTCTGTCTCTCTCTCTCTCTCTTACCGTCGTTGGTGTCTTTCCGTGGGTTTTTGATGTAAGCTGAGAACTTGGCGAACACATCAATGCCCGCTGTGTTGGCTTCACGATGTTTGGGAGCCAGTCTGGGGTAGCTGAGGAAGTGAGGACACATAAAAGAAATAAACTGAACACCCTTGCATACTTGATGCTCACGTACTGTGTTGACATTTCATAATGTATGATGAAATTAGTTGTTTCTGCATTCTGACCTTACTTATTTGACATGCATTTTCTTTACATTGTGATTTGTTAAACGTCATATTGCTTCCGCAGGGTAAATGTAGCATAAGAAGAAGAAACTCGACAATGATTATGTGCAGTTGTGTTGACCGGAGAAGCATAATTCCAGCTTGAGCCTCCTCTGACCAGCTACTATATATACATGTGAGTTTGTGTGTGTTTCTATACCGTGGTGGGGTCAGTTTCTCCTCCAGGAACTCCTCTATCTTGTTGACATCGACCTTTACCTCGCCGTTAAAGGTCACAAAAGGAGGGTTGGTTCCTGGAGCGAGGTCCTGCAGGTCAGCCGGCTTCCTGACAACACAAAACAAAAACACTGCAATAAGGATGCAAATAATATCACTGTCAGTGTTTTCCAAGCTAACTATTAATTTTGAATATACTTGCCACAGAAAGTGAAGCAGAAGTATGGGCATTACAACATCCTTTCTGTTGTACAGGACTATTACTTCAACCAGAGTGACTGTCTTTACATACACAGAGAATGAATGTTCTGCATGGTGGATCCTATAAGGAGATTCAGAGCATGAATATGTAGTATTACCGTTTGAGGTCAACGGTGGTGACTTTGAAGACGACTCCTTTAAGCCACAGGATCATGAAGAGTCTCTGAGAGAACGGACAGTTGCCAATGCTCTCCCCATTACTTCCCGCCTACACACACACACACACACACACACAAATACACACAGATGCCCATAAATACATACACAAAAACAACTTCAGAAATTGGAAAATGTGCAAAAAAGTACAAACTCACAAAATACCCCAACCACACTATAGCCATACATACTGTAGATATTGTATGAATACTCCATTCAAAGGCATTGACAGTGACTGATCATTGCTTCTGTAAGTGTAAGGAGGATTTGCAGAAGTTTACAACATCACTTACCTTTACAAACAGTTCAATGGTGGGGAAGCCCAGTTTTTTAATTGCAATCTCATACAGGGACATGTTGAATATTCAGCATTCCAGATGGCTTTAAATGTTGAGTGAAAGTTCCCACTCCTCTTAAAACACTAAAGAGTATGGCATCTTACCCCACAAACAAAAAGCAAAAACTGACAAATTCAGCTCAGGACAAATATAGTATAATCCATGTTTAGTTAATCCATTACACTGGTCCTGTTATCTTCCACCAAAGCCATGATAATCACCAGCACCATGTCTGTCCATCTGCCTGCTCCTCAGACTGCTTGTTTGGTTTTTTTCTGCTTCCTCTGGTATGTCTCCACCACTCACAATCCCTCTTTGTCAGAGAAAATATTAAACACAGTCTCAAGTGAAAATCTGTGTGTGCGTTTGTATTATTGTATATTACATTGTTGGGAGAAGAATCTGTCCTCACAAGAAGCTAGGCATTACATTTGGTTGTGGTTATGGTAAGGGTTGTGGTTATGTCTATAGTGATTACAGTTCTGGTTAAGACAAATAAAGATCCTGTCCTATTTAGTGCTGAAGAGCTGATATCATGTGGTAATATTCAACATATAACACACTAGATCTATTTTATTGTTTTAACACCCCTTTGATTTGGACCATTGTTTGTCTTTATGGGGCTCCTTAAATGGCCAGTCCAACCAGCATTTAAAACTGAGGCATTTTAAATTAATTAATTTAAATCGCTGTGATCAGCAAATGCTCTCCAGGGGTGAAGTAAATGCAGGCAACTTATTCACGTTTAGGAAAACCTTTGTGAACTTTGACAAACAAATATCCTTCTTTAACTAGTAGCAACCTGTCTCAATCCCTGTTCAGACCAAAGATTCACAACAAAGTTTTAGCCGGCTGATGGCTTTGCCTTTTACTCATCTTGTCAAATCTCATGTGGCTGGTTTTGAACGTCAACCAACAGCCAATCAGCTCATAGTAAAGTCAACTAGTCAACTCAGTTACAAACTGTCAGCTGGTCGAAATAGCAGAGATTTGGACGAGATTCCAAGAAGGAGGAAGGTATTGCGGTTTATTGGCGGTGTTTATTGGCTCCATTCATAACTTTTAGACAGCAGTCAATGGTTAAACGTTTCTTTTGAATAAACTGTGGGAATCATTTTATTGTTTGCGAAGTTGACAAGCGTGCTAACTGACACCAGAATGCCTGAAGGAGTAAACGTCATCGTACAGAGAATATATCAGAAAGCTCAGCGAGATCAACTACACAGTGCCAACATGTTCCCATTGCCAGCAACAGCAGTTCGTCATCTAGCCCTGCAAGAAGATCATCAATGAGCCCTAACTTACATAAAGCCTGTAATCTGACAAGAGGTCAGAGTTTGTGTGAAGTTGGGAGGCACAGAACAGTGTAAGAGCTCCTTCATTTTTCAGAGGAGTGGGCGGCAGTGGAATCTCTGCTCCATCACAAACACACAGACAATGTATCCACTGTGTGTATGTGTTTGTGTGTGTTTGTGTGTGCTGCAGACGGGATGGAAAGATGTTTTTTACACCCACAGATGTCTCTTTTGTTTTCTGACTATTGTTTTCATGCATGTACATCCAGTGTGGTGTTTTTTTTGGCTCTATGTGGTCCACAAAGATTTCGACATGAGGTCAAAGGCTTATGAGGTTGTGTGTGTGAATGCATGAACAGGTGGATCCATGCACTATGTGATACACTACATATGATCAACTTGTCAGAAGCCAAAATCTCTGGGAAAAATAGTGTGTACCACTAAATACTCCACTGAAAAATGTGATAATCAGAATTACAATCAGAATCAAAAATATTTTGCAGGACATATCAGATTTAATCTGGAGAATTTTTAATTACCTTCAAATTAAAATGCACACACGATATCCAGTGTATAACATATATTACAAATGAATGTGTGATAAGGGACTGAAAGATGAGGGGTTCCAAATCCCACAGTGGAAACCTTCACTTATTCCTCAACCTATTCTAGGGCCTATGTGAATAAACTGCATAATGCCTGTAATATACTGCTACAGGCATTTTCTGCTGTTTCTGCTGTTTGACCAGTCACCCAGGAAACGCCTGTGAATCTTTTTTTATTGCTTTAAATTTCATTCAAATTCTTTTGTTCATTTCTGAACGTCTAAATGCTTTGGTTGTTTTTCAATCTCCCACTCATTTTTCCATACTTTACTTTGCACCTATCACTGTTGTATACACCCACTTAGTAATGTTTGTGAATTGTTCAAGGTAAAATTTAAATGTGTTCTCATTTCTAGGAATCAAGTCATTGTTTCCTTTTATGCCTAGTAAGTAAAATCATACTAATCACCGTTGGGGTCTTGGCTCTAGGGCTTTAACCCTTTACTGTAAATCTATCTGATTAACAGGGTCAGAATCTTTATCAAATAAAGCTACTGCATTCTTGTTACATGGTTTGGTCTTTTCTGATGATTAAAATGCAGTTTATTTATTTATTTATACTATTTATACTATACTTATTTATATCAGCCATATATATCGAAAACCCAGTAAACCTTTACCAGTCAAACCATGGTCTTTGAGACTGTTCCCTAGCTGTTAACATAATGTAGATGCAGAATTTAGTTTGAGGTGTTGTTTCCAGCATCACTGTGCCCAGAGCTCTCAGCAGCAAACAGCAGGCTAATCAGCTTACAGAGTGAGAATGCAGAGATTAACCCTGCATGCTGCTGGCAGCAGCAGCATAGCACCATTATTCAGTCATTGGTGCCCTAAAACTAGCTCCACTAGCGTGTCAAACAAGATGATGACAGTATGGATATATATGTAATATATTGTATTTTATGACAAAATCATGTCATTTTTAAAGAACTACTCAATGAAATCCTCTCTAGACATTTACTGGCACATGTTTGTGTACCTCGAGTGCCTGAGTCCAGCGACACTCAAGGACGCTTGAACCTTTCCATAATATTTCCATCTACCTCACTCTGTGCTGCCAACAGAGTCCCTGACAAAGGCAGCCATTGTTTGAATGTGAGCTCCCACGGAGAACAGGCCTGTTGTGTGTATGTGTGAAGCAGTTCTGAGATATTAGTGCATTTTTTTCTTGGCGTTAAACCTCTCCGCTGGCCGTCAGAAGGCTGCCCTCTTTTATTCTCGCCTCAGTTAGGAATGTGCTGCCCAGCCAGAGAGCAAAATTGACCTCTGTGTGTGCGTGCAGGTTAAGATGACAACTACATCATTGTGAATGTTTAGGCACATAATGCAAAGTGTGGAAAGTTGTACAGTATAGTGTGTTCCTGTTATTTTGTCCACAACCTTTAGATTGCATGCATGGAGCAATGTAGGCTTCCGTGCCTGATGGATTAGGATATCACTGTCTTAATGGGATAAGGTAAGCAGATCAAGATGGAGTTTCTCTCTCACTTGCTCTCTATCTCTGAATCACACACCTACAGTACACGCCACATTATGTGCCAGTAAGGACAACCACATCACTACAGCACGTTTGTAATCAGAAGGCAACAAGTAACTGTGATTCACGCAACCATTGTAGTGTTAGATTTAGAGATCTCTTGTCTGCATTAATACTGAGTTCCCCTGAAGTCTCTTGACTACATTCAACTTCATCACATGTTTACCCAGTTTTCATGTCACCATAATGGCACCACTATAAATGTTTGGCCATAGCAGCTCTGACACAGGAAACACCTACATCATCATACATACATATAATGTATAGTAGTACATGTACATCAGCTGCACTTCTTTAATTTTATCAGTTGCATTTAACTTTTTTTTACGCCTTTCCCCAGAAAACCAGCCAAAACAACGATGGAGGGAAAATCAACATTCCTTGTATAATGTTTATATCAAAATCAGTTGGCTTGCTTAATAAAACAAGACATATATAGACAGAACTGTACTAAAAAGCACAGTTTTGAGTTTGCATGTATATATGCTTGTAAGAAAAAAATAACAAGCAGCACGTGGAGCCATCTGACACTAATATACAAAAAATACATGAAAGATGCAACATTTTGTGTCAGTGGTTAAATGTCATTAGTATTGTATTGCCTTGATCTGTGTGGGTTTTGACAGCCTGTCTGTTGCTACTTTTTTCTTTCCAGCAGGCATGCTACAAGACTGCCTGCCTGGGCTTATGTCCATACCCACGTAGCCAAAATGGCTTGGCACAACAACAGCCTAAATCCTGTGTTCGTGTTTGCCAGAGTCATGCCAGTCTCCTGACGCATGATGCTACAAAACTGGTCCAAGTTTACTGGTCCAGAGTAAACATTTCTAAAAACTTGGCCTTAAGGCAGCATACGTGAATCCGAGCCGACTCACATTTGGTCCTCCAGGGCCAGAACAGGCCAGTGCACTGCCACTCAGCTGCAATTGGCCAAAACATATAAAGGCTACTGACTACAACAGGTGCACTGATACAATACATCCAGTAGAATACAAATCGAGGTGAATCTTGCATGGTGATTTGTGAAGTTTGGAGGCACATAACAAATTTTCAGAACAATTTAAGAGGTTAACAGAACATCGTCCCTTTATTGCGTTCCATTTTTTATTTATTAAGTTATTATTATTATTAAGTTGAGTTTGTTTTTAGTAGATACAGCCCCATTATGACATTTTACGACCATTAAAACCATAATGGTCACTTTGACCAAAGAACTAGGCATGAGCGAGTGCACTATTACCTGTATCTGTATCTGTTCAACCAACTAAATTAGCTGTATTCGTATCCTTAGTCGGCGTGGGCGGGGCTTAAACCGGAAGTTGGCTGGACTAATTGGAAGTTGTTAATTTAAGAAGTTGCTATATTTATTCGCAATGTTTTTGATAACAAAAGACCTATTCAGAGATAGTATGGATTAAAGTATGGATATTCACACATTTTACTTGTTTGATAGTTATTTCAGCCAAGTTCTTCCAAGTCAACCCAATGAGTAACCATGGAGAAACACTCCTCTTTCTTAGTGCATATGAACAGTTATTGACTCGGAGTGGATGTGTTACCTTGACATAGAGCGAGATCTCATATTCCTGGTCTTGGGATGTTCTGCGCACAGGAGGCAAAGGGCTCTCCACCCTCCTGTGGGAGATCAATTTCACCTCCTCTCTCTTTTCATTCATCTCCTCCCGCTGGGGGAAATACGAATGGCCATCCTCCAACAGCACCACTCGCTTTTTCTTCACCTGCTCATCCTTCTTTTTGGGCAGGGAATCGTCTTTGATCACTGACTTCAGCTCCTTTATCCAGTCCTCCTTCCTTGGCGGACTTTTCTCTTCTGGAGATGTTTCCTTCTTCACCCATTCTTTTCTTCCCTTCTCAGATTCCCAGGTGTCTTTTTTCACAGGTTTCAGTTCTTTCCTCCAGTCTTTCACTTCTGATGCACTCTCTTCCTCGGGTTGATTTTTTTTTATCCAGTCATTATCTTTTCTCCTGAGTGACAGCACTCTTGCTGTCCCTGATTCTTCTTTCCTGAGCGGCTGAGGTTCAGGACTCAAGATCCCATTCTCCATTGCTTGCTTGAGTACTTTAACTTTTCCATTAATATCTAACTCTACTTGTCTGTTGTCGTCTTTCGGCTTCTCATCCTTCTCTGCCTTTCCTTTTCCATCTTTCTGTTTCTCATCATTCTCCTTGACAAGTTTAACCTTGGTAACCTCCTTTGTCTCCACTATGGTGGTGAGCTTTTGTTCTTCAAGTTCTCTACCCGGGCTTTCCTCTATCTCTTCAATCTCATCATCTAAAACAGTCACAGGCTCTTCCGCCATCTCCACCTCTTCCTCCGTTACATGTTCTTCTGCTCCTCCTCCTTTCTCATCTTCTACAATTGCCTCCTGTCTTTGCTGTTCTTTCAAGTTTTCTCCCCAATCTGTCTCTGCTTCTTTGAAAAGCTGCGAAGGATGTTCTTGCCAATCGCCTTCCTTCTCTGTAGACTCATTCTCCTTTGAGACCTCACCTCCTGGCATATCAGGTTCAGTTGCCTCTAGTTCAAAAGCCTCCTCCACCTGGTCCAAATCTTCATCTTCCTGTGTGTCTAGGAAATCTACCTTAGCTGGGATTTCAACTTCAACCATCTTCTCTTCTTCCATTTCTCTTTCTTGTTTGTGCTCTCCCTCACCCACTGACTCTCTAATAACGTTATCGCCTCTCTTCCCCTCCTCTTCCACACTCTGTCCTCCCCTATCCATCAATGTTAGAGTATTAACCCAAACCTGTCGCACTTGCTCTTCCTCTTGCTCCTTCTGGTTGATCCCTACCATACTTGTTTCCTCAATCCCTCCTTCTGCCTGCGACTGTTCTTCAGAGGGTAGAAACTTCTTAGTTGTCTTATCCTCAACCTTTGCCTCTAAGCAATCCTCCTGTTGCCATGTGCTGTTATTATTAATGGACTCAACTTCCTGTTTTCTGGAGTCTGAGTTGTCTGTCTTGTCAGTTTTTTTTATTTCATCTTTATTCTCACTGGCTAATTGGTTGGTCTGATTGGTCACCATTTCGATTGTGCCAGCCGTATCAGAGGTTACGCCACTGTTGCCAACAGTTGAGGCTTGGCATGCATCATCTTGAGTGTTGACTTGTTTGTTCATCCCCATGGTAACAGGGTCCACATCTATTGTTTGATCCTCAACACTTCCTGTTACCTTACCATCAGTGAGTAGAATAACAACTTCTGTTTTGTCTGCGTTATCAATAGACAACCGCGTACCCTCTGCTGAACCTTCTACATGAGTACCTGAGCCCTGAACATGCTCTTCATCATCAGTACTGGACACTAACTGGTGTTCTTCTAACCCATTGTCTCCATCATTGGTCTCATCCTCCCTTAGCGCTATTTCTGAGCTTTCTATCACCGCCTCTAGTTTATTTTCCTCATCGTCCCTGTCTTCATTCCTGTCTAATGTCTGCTCTTGACCTTCCTCAACCTCTGTCATTGCTAAAAAGTGACATGGATTTTCAGCCACTGTCTTTGTGTTTTTTGACACTTTCTCTGCCTCGGCTTTACCTTCCTTCTCTCTTGTCTGTTCATCTGTCATTTTGTGCTCTTCATCCTCCACTTCTACTCCTTCTTCGCCATTTTCCTCCAGGTTTTCACCTTCTCCCTCCCCCTCTTTTATTACTCCATTTGATAACACTTGGATAATCCTCACTTCCTCCCTTTCACTCTGCTCTCTGTTTTCTCCTTCGGCTTGCCTCTCTCCTGCTCCAGCCATCATCAAAACATCCTCCCCTACCTCCTCGGCTAGTTCCACCTCCTCATCTTCTTCTTCTTCCTCCTCATCCTCCCTTCCTCTCTGGGTATCCAGGTCTGAACACATACCTAGTGGGCTGAGGACAATGGCGCTATTTGACAGGTCTGGGTTTGGGCAGGGGTCTGACTGAGCCATTAAGAAAGTTTTAGGAAATGACAGGACACTTACTTAAGAATGATTGGTGCGCAAGTTTCCAGGATCAGAGTGCAGTTCTACAAGATGTCAGGTTTGTGGGATAGACCCGGTATTCCAGAAAAGGTCAAAGACAGATTTTGGAGGTACTAAGACTGAGATTGCAGAATGGTTCCAGTTTCCAGATTATGTCCAACAGGAAGTGTCTTTGAGGATGACGAGGTTCCAAAGATTGTAAAATAAACAAAGTATTCCAGAAAATATTCAAGAAGTATCTCACAGTGTTTCTGATGTTCCACGGCAAGAAACAAGGAGTAGGAATAACGTTTTTCAAAAGCCACAAGAGGACTCGAATCCTGGAATAACTCCCAAGTTGCTTTGAGAAGGATGGTTTTCTGATTCCACAATTGTACTGATAAGGAGCTCAGTTTTTACAAAGATCTGAAGATTGTAAAAGACCTGTAGGATTCCCAGGAAGTTCCAAATTTGCAGGAAAAGGAAATAAAATCCAGATTATGAGATTTCACCTCCAAAGATCATGAAACAATTATTCAGGTGCATAGGTTTAGTGTTTGGAAGTACACATTCTTTTTACTCCTCTGCCTGTGGCTATGGGGCTCTCGAATAAGTACGGCACCTTGAGCAGAGTTAGACATCAATAAATACAACCTACCTCTCTCTCTCTCTCTCTCTCTCTCTCTCTCTCTCTCTCTCTCTCTCTCTCTCTCTCTCTCTCTCTCTCCAGAGGATTAAATGGAGGCTGATCCCCACATGACCAGGTGCTTAAACCCCTCTGCCACCCAGGGACCAGCACCACTTGAGTTGAGTTGAGGTTTCTTACAAACTTACATTCATACGCACACACACACACACACACACACACACACACACACTACAGCACTGACATGACATACAGAAATGTTCTCTTCTATTTGTATTTTTGAAAGTAATTATGTAATTACAATTATCCATAAAAATCACATTTATTCTAACCAATGCATCATAATCAATAACACATACTATAAATTATTTTCTTATCTTTGTATTTTTAACAGGAGAGTTGGACAAGCATAATTTACGTTTATATTGTGCTCCATCTGTTCAACTAATTTAATACATACATGCTTAAAACATTTTTTTAATTAAATTAAATTAAAGTCTCTCTCTCTGTCTCTTTATCTGCACTAATCACACATGCTTATCTTCTATAAATTAGATTACAGTGACAGCTATACAATGATCTGTAATAAAAATCCTATAATAAGTAGAGCCTGCCACAAGAGGGCAGGATCTTGACTTCAAATAATATCTTGACCACAGGATCAGTAGAGCAGCGACGTTAAATGTGTTGAAAACATTTATTTCACGAGGGAAACATAAAAATAACATTTGTTTAATTAAAAAAGCAAAGAAAAAAGCTTTTATTCTGTTTTTTTATGTTCTCCTTTTTTGATGGGGCAGTTTTTAATGTCTTGTTTCAAGTTAACTATTTTATATATATATTTATTTATATATCAATGTGGTCAATGTCGTTTAAAAAGACTGGAAACACGAAAAACATTTTTAAAACAATTACTGCAAAACCGGAAACGCATATCGGCAGCTGTTCAATTTACGTCATCTCCTTTATCCTCTGCGCCATGCTAACAAAGTTATCCGATAGGTTTTAATTTGAGCTAATATTAGACAATATTGTGCTGCTTTGTCCGATGACAATACTAGTTGCCAAACAACCGCCTTCACCTACAATTAACTGAGGGAAGACATTGACGGAATATCGTGTGTTTCGCTTGTTTAGAGGTATAATTTCAGGTTCCTGGTTAGCACAACTTGCTAGCCAGCTTAGTGCAGCTTTTAATCTAATACACTGAAGAGCTACTTTACTCTGTTGGCTGTTTGCAGGAAACCATCGTATATAAAGCCGTTTCACCACATTTATCATGAAATAAAGTCTACAGCTTTTCTGGTATGTATGATAGTAAATATGGCGTTATGTTAGCCAATAGCTGGATGATGGGCGTCAGCCAAGCCCTGTTATTAATTTATGTGTAATGATTTGTGCTTTTTGCTGATATGGTTTCGTTTCTGTGTTTGCAGAAGACAGTTGAGGTAATCGTGATGCAGCAGGCAGTGAATGGCGGTGGTGGTGGTGAAGAGGAGGCCACGGTAGATGTCCAGTTCACGGATCTACCCAACGCCCTGATAGCTTGCAAAGTACCGGAGGATTTGTTCAATGAAGGCAGTCTGAAGGTAAGGATGGACCATTTACAAATGTTGGTGTTTTATTCAACTGCGGGCTCTTTCTGTGTGTTTGATGTATGCCGACTGTAGAAGTTTCGCTTTTGGATTTATAATAAATGTAAAGTAATGTCCTGGGAAACGTGGCTGTAAGCAATTTATCAAGGATACCTTAAATCGCCTGTTTGTTGAATGGAGTTTGGTGCTATACTGTGCTGGTCCACACACACACACCTGTTTGTCTCTGTCCGTATTCAGCATGCACATTTGAGTGGATTTAGACCACTAGATGGAGTTAATAGTTAAAGATTACTATGGTTATAACTGAGTGGACAACACACATACTCACTTCCTGGTTCCTTAGTCATTCTGTGTTAACTAAACCTGGGTCAGTTTAATTTTGTTGTTGATTGACATCATCCACAGAGATGCATCATTGAGAAGTTTCCAATAATATTCAGTTAGCACGTACTACCAGTTTTCTGTAACACTTCTGCTGAACAATAGGTTAGGTAACAAATAACCGAGGGGTAAAATGCACATAACATGGATCTATTTCAAGGTTTTTCTTTCTTTCCTGTGATTGTTGACATTGGGAGGGTGTTAATGAAGCTGAAAAGATGTTTAAGTGTCGATGAAAGAGTGACATGCTGAAGATTTCTTCATAACAAAACAAATTGGTGTCTGAAGCCTTTGTTTAACACACGCCTTATTTTTAGCATCAATCCTTTGCTGCAGTTAAACACCTTGTGATTCATTTTCTCCATGATGGAGTCATAACATTTGAGTTTCACTACTGTAGGAGAGGACGTATTACATAGGACATTGAAAATATTGCAATGGCTAATTACATATCTCCTCAGCCCAACAACCATGAGCAATAGGGACAGATATTAAACCTAATTTCTTTTTCAGTGTCAACTAACAGTTTGGTTTTTTTGCATAGAGAAAACTGTTGAGTGCAAAAAGCTTTGGTTGAATAATATATTGTTCTATTACAAATTGGTGCCAGTAACTCTGAATGGAATATAAGTGTAAGTTATGACTTACTGGAAAGTGACAGTGGAGCACTGCATCACAGCGACATCAAGTCTATATATGCAGTTTACCTCACTCTAGTGGATGAGCAAAGTAATTCATTGCTCTAATTACTAGACATTTAACATTTGCTACCAGTTTGTGAATAGGTTTGACAGCCTTAGTAAAACTGTAAAACCTTGTCAGCATGAGGGTTGCTGGTTCTCAGCAGTAGCAGATGTTGGTGAATGCTCTGCTGCTAGCTGGCGCCCCATGTACCAAGGCTGAGTCCTTGCTGCTGCAGCAGCTATGGGTTTGAATCTGACCTATGGCCCTTTGCTGCATGTCATTCCTTCCCTTTCCTGTATATCTTGAGATATAAAAAAAAAAAAGGTAATACTGGATTTACAAGATATTTGCATCAATTTGAGACAGTACTGTGATTTGGAAAGCAGAAATGCTTTATTGATACCTGGGTGGAAATTTGTTAAAAAGGTAAGGTGTTTAATTCATTTGATAAACAAAAAAACAGATATTCCCATCTGATTATTAATCTAGAAATGCTTTCTGAGTTGAGTTTTATGAAAAAACATGCTTGATGACTTTTACTGTGAGTAAGACTCACAGTAGAATTACTGAGTCAATGATTGTGGTTGATTAGGGGGGTTGCAGAGTGGCAATGGTGGTTTGAACAATGACTAAAGCTGTGTTGTTTGTGTGTGTGTGTGTGTGTGTGTGTGTGTGTGTGTGTGTGTGTGTGTGTCTCTGTGTTAACGTGTATCAAGGTGTATCAACAGTGGAGAACAATAGTCAGACAGTGGAAAAACAAACTCAGTGGAAAACAGCCAGAGACTCAATAGGGAGCTCATCATGCTCTTTAAATCAGTAGGAGAAAATTTGTTTGAGGAAAAAGAGTTTATTATAGGAGAAAGAACACCGCATATTTCTTCAAGGCAGTCTGAATTCCAGTTGCCAAAGAAATGTCCAGGGGGAAGCTGTGGAGGGATCCTGTTGGGACTGACAGCCCATACACTCAAGCCACCGAGATGAGTTAGTGTTGGTGGTGGTGTGCTATAGGTGCTGACGTTGATGGAAAAGGAAAAACAACAGAGGGGCAAAGGGCATCTGGTGAAAAAATGACTTGTGTTGTTTGTTGTTTCCATCTTCATTTTCTTCCATAATACTGTTACTTTTCCACTGGGAATCTGCATGGATTTGAGGGTCAGCTGATCGTATCGTATTGCAGAATATTCCACTGAGGGTGTATGAATGTGTCATGAACTCTTGGTAACATCCAGTTGTTTTGATTGTTAAGGAATGAGTGTACTACAGTGGAAGAAGTGTTAAGAACGAATGGAGAATTTACGACATGTTTCCATCCATTACAGTTTTTAAGCTTGCCGGAGGTGGAAAATTGGTTTATCAATGAATGCGAGAGTGCAATGGTAAGAGATTACAATATTAGATCTGTGTGGAGCGATGAGGACTGAAACCTTCCTCAAATTAATACATGAAACAAACAAATACTATATTTACATGTTTTTTACATTTTTCTTCCCACCATTCAGGTTCCACTGACTCTGTTAATTATGTCATGTCGGGCTCTTCTTCTGTAATGGTTTAATTGAACCTGACTGGAGCATTAGTGCCACTTACTGCTTATTTTGATGAACCAACTCCCAATATTTACACAACTGTAGTGGATGGCAATGCGCATGCATTGCTGTTTTTATGAACAATCTGCTAATGCTTTGTAGCACAGAGGGATCTTTTAAGACATTGAAAATGGATGTCCTCCAATCTGATGTACAGTCAACTAGCTAGTGTTAGCATAGCAAATTATAGCCACAGTTACCAGAAGATTTGGAGGGCCTGTTCTGATTGTATTTCCTCTGTATGACCGCTTGAAGGATTCTCCCTTATGACTAAACAAAATCAAAAGGCAGGATCGCTGTGCTTTGTTCATGGTGCCCGCTAAAATCAATGGTAGATAATGTAAAAATGAATAGAAACTGTTGGTGTCTTTACCATCAGCATATTTTATTGTAAAACCATTAGACTGCTACATCCCTATTTATTTGTATGCTGTATTTGTTCACTAATGTTTATGGTATGTTTAGTTTGTATTGTTTGGCTGCAAATTCTGTATCAGTTATCAAAGCATGTGGCAGTGGAAGCGTGAAAATGTGATAGTTTCTCTGGAGAGAACAGGACATTTTTTAAAAATAGGTCACTTTACAGGAATGAAGCAGAATGTATTTTCCAACGTGTTGTGCAAGTTAAACTGTTCTCAGCCCAACTGGAGCAGAAAACTGCCTAAAAACAGCATTAATAAACCAGCATGGAGGAACAGATTTAGGTCAGGGAAAACTCTGATGTAGGTCTGGAAAGTCTCGTGGACTTTTCCAGCAGGACACACCCATTGGCAACTTCAGATGAGATTGTAAAGATTGTGCTAAAATACACACATAATCAAGATTATAGATGTGTTGTCACAGTTTCTAACACAGTGATAAGCATTACTTGTCTTACACGACAGGATAAGCTAGTTAGACATGGCTGGATGGATGGATAATAAACAGTCTGAACCTGCATCGAGTTTTAGGCCAAATGGAAAATCTGAGCAGTTTTGTTTTGTTGAACATGTACTGACTCAGTGTTATTGTACCTAATGGAAGAGATTTACTTTTGCTATTCTGTAATTGTCTCTAGGTTCAGTGGTAGGCGGATAGAGCTGGAAAAAGGACAGATGTGTCATCGTGCCACTGGCCCTCTTTTCCTGTTCAGATGTGGAATTTTGTTAAAGCCACAAGGAAACAGCCTCTCAGTGGAGTCTGGCTTCCGTAACTCAATGCCCTTCTGACAGTGGATTTTGTGGCAGGACAGATCACAGAGCTGTTCACAACTGTGGGTTTAAAAATAAAAACTTTGCTGGAAGGAACTGGAATCCCCCTAAAAGTACAAAGAGGGTTTTAGTCAGTCTCTCTCTGGTTAAAGAAATGAAACAGACAGGGGGTTGTTTGTCCATAGTTTAGACAAATGCAGATCATGCATAGAGCCTGTCTACATATCCATTTTTAGCCTTTAACACATATCCTGTTGGAATAATACGTTTCAGCAAATACGGCAATACTGTAGGAACTGCAGTACAAATGTTGTATAGGCTGCCTTTTTATATATGCTGAACTAAGGCACTAAGGAATAGTGGTCAACCTGGTCTTTCAATAACCGATGCTTTCTTTTTTTCTCCAATTTTGTCTGACCAGTTTTATAATATTAGAAAAGGGTTAATAGCCGTGTGCCTTTTTCAATGAAGAGATTGTCAGCAGCTTTTCTTCACCTGCCATAGAATAGGTCCACCTGCAAACATGAACACGCTATACTGTTAGCAGAGTTCAGCCCAGCCTGTGCAGTTTTTGTCTAACGCTAACTAAAGCTTTTAGGATATATTATCTTATCACAGATTTATCAGTACTGACCTAAATGTCAGCTGATGATTATTGTTAAATAATTGCCGTACAGTATTGCCAAAGAAATGTTAGAGCATGAACGTTCTTTTTCATCAACAACAATAATAAAAAAGATTTTAAAAAGTCTCGCTCACTTGCTTTCTTTGGGAGCTGACAAGATTTTCTGGAGCTTTCAACACATCTCACAGTTTTCCCAGGTGTTGAGGCTAAAAACAGCACTGCGTTAACAAAATACACGGGCCCACGTTGCCTCATGTACTGGACAGACAGTGAAATATGATCCAGGAATGTTTCCATGAGTTTATTAGGCACTAAAACACTGCACAGCAGTTTATATTACTATGAGCCAGGATTTTACTACTGTGGAAAATGATTACACTGACAGTCATAGGGAAGTACAGGTCTCTACCTGTCCTCTCTCATCCCTTTGTCTGAGCCATGTCCATTCAGGTAAACTTACACTTAATTATACAGCAAATATGAAACTCACTAATAAACATTTTACATCTTGTGTAATCTGTTCAAAAACCAAAGTATAAAACCCACCGTTTGCTGTTTTATGGCAACTTATGTGCAGTACTGCCATCATACTGCCACTTAATGTGTGAATTAGTGAGCTTTAGAGGTGCTGGGAGGTGGATTTTGTTACTGTTGGACAAAGCCATAGCTGTTTTCCCTGTTTCCAGTCTTTAAGCTAAGCTAACCAGTTCCTTGTGATAGCTTCATATATATTCACATAAGACTTTTAGCATTCTTTGCATCTAACTCTAAAGAAAGTAAATATGTATATGTGTATATATGGGTATTTATATTGGTATTGACCTAAAACAAACAGTATGGTTGAGGCTCTAGCCCCTCACCACCAGTGTGCCGCAGTGTCAGCCTTCAAATTGTTACTTGAACAATATAACTTTCACCTCGGCATTGGAAAGAAGAGCATGATGCAATAAAAATGTAGCAGCTGGCTAGTAACATAGCACTGTGTCCAGTATGCGTTCGACAATCAGGATGTGTTCGTGTGTGTGCACTGTGCATGTGCACACCTGTTTGTTTGTGTGTGTGTGTGTGTGTGTGTGTGTCTGTGTGTGTGTGTTGCCTGCCTATCTGTCTAGTGAGGGAATGGAAAAAATGGGAAGATGAAACAAAAACATAAGGATGGAAAAAATGCAGGGCTGAGCGTGCACACACTCTCTCTCTCACACGCACACACGCACACATAGCACATAGCCACCACAGCAGGGTGAGGTTGAGGTCTGGAGATGATTAGCACCTACACACACATACTCACACGGTAATGTTTAACATTAACAAACACTTACATGAGAGCATCAGCTTCACTGTTGGGAGGCTCACCAACATTACACCACTTTATTTTCCACACACAGATTTTCCATCCAACTCACCGGACAGTGCTATTAGTCCTTTCACTGTGCATTAGCACCTGCACTCAGAGAGGACAGAAATCATGTACAGTATGTTGACATGTTGGTGTAATAGTTTATGATGGGTACGTCTCAACCAGACCACCAGCCAGATGTCACAGCCTGTACGTGGCTGAGATTGTAACTCAAGGCTGTGTTATCTGTCACCTCACAGCCTCAAGACCCTGGGATCAAACCCTGCTGAGGACCTTTGTGTTTGGAAGTTGTGTCCATGTCTTCATGGGTTTCCTCCAGTTGTTCCAGTCTCTAGTTGTAATAACTTGATTCATACGATGTGGACTGCAGATAAAAACATTAATTTGATATATTGTCCAGCCCTACAGTGAAATGGTCCAGGAAAGGTGTTTTTAGGACTGTACCAAACACAGAATTTTATCAGTTGAATCGGATTTGGCTGTTTTGTTTTATTTTTTTAGTTCAGCACCATACTAAACTCCTATATCAACAGTTCCTGCAGTGGAAACACAGCTACATGAGTCTCATGTTTTAGCCTACCTCACGGTTTAATGTCTTAAACATCACATGTCCACACAGTCAGAGAAAGTAGAAGCTCATAGTTGAGTTATAAAGTCTCAGCGCACTACAGCATCTGGAATACATCCTCACTGTCACCCTGTCTTTCACCGACTGTCACACTGTCATAACTCACCTGGGCTTTCCCTGCTATGACAAGTCAAATTGTCTGTTCTGGAAAAAAAAGTCAATTGTTATTGAAGACAAATTAGTCATTCATTTGCACTGTAATTGTTTGTGGGTGTGTCCTTTTTTTTGAAGAACTTGAGTTAACCTGTTATCCAGATATCACCTGATATCCACTGAGCAAATCGTCAGTACGCTTGTTGGGGTTGTAATGAATGTCCTAAATCTAGTTCATACACCAATGTGTATATATTCAAACATAGTTTAAATTCTTAGCAGTTGCCCACTTAATGGTTTGTTTTCCTGTTTCTGATAAATATCTTTATCCCCTGGCCCTCTTTAATAACTCAGAAACATTCAATTTAGTTCCAGTATCAGAAGGTTCCTCCAATACTGCCTTTTGCCTAAAATACAGTATAGGGTAGATATTAATGTTAATATTTACTTGCCTTTCTGTTGCTATTTATGTCATAATTAATGTCCCACTAAAAGCGGGTAGTGTTCAGTTCAAGTGGAATAATTTGCTTCTTCGTATGTTATTGCCTAAAAATAAAAGCTGGAGTTTAGCTCCTAGATTTCAAATGTGCGACTTTGTAGAGTGTTAAACGCAATTTGTTCTAAAAGTGTTCACACACACACACACACACACAGGTGCAAATGTTGGTGAATTTGCTGCACAGTCTGGTCTTGTTTTTCCATCTGCTGGCTGCACACACACTCGCACACTTCCCCTCCACTTCAAGCTCTCTGCTATTTATACCTCATAAAAGCATGTTATCAAACTGCATACTTTCCATGACTGAGCACCTCCTCTCTCTCCCACCTCTTGCTTTTTATCCCTTCATCCCTCCATCTTGCATTCTTCCTACCAGTCATGTCTCTCTTTCTCTTTCCACTCTTTTTTTTTTCTATTCCTGCCTATCTCCTCTCTCTCCCTTCTTTGTCTGTCAGCTGTCCTGTCTCTTTCTCTCTCTCTCTCTCCCTTTGTCTGTCTCTCTCTCTGCTTCATCCATATTTACTAAGACTGACATGTGTTTTCCACGTCTTGCTCCATGTACTCGGGAGTCAGGTGATACGTCTTTGGTATGTTTGTGAAATCAAGAGGTGAAAGGCTCATTGTCACGTTTTCCATACAACAAAGGATTTTTGTCTTGAGTTTGAATGCAACAGAAAGCAGATTAATGCGTCAGTTTGCTCAGCGGTTATGTCATTATTTTCCAGTATCTCTCTCTCTCTCTCTCTCTCTCTCTCTCTCTCTCTCTCTCTCTCTCTCTCTCTCTCTCTCTCTCTGCACACACGCACACCCATTGCCCTTCTTTCTGTCTGATTAGTCAGCATTGGCCAGTATATGTCAGTAGAGGGATTGGAAGAAGGAAAAAAAAAAAAATAGGCTGTCCCTCCCTCTTCCACAGCCGATTGGCTTGCAGTGAATAAACGAATGAATGAGACCAGGATGAGGAGAGGGAGGGGATTGTGGGTAATGCGTCATCGGCTGGCAGGGGCTCATTTAAGCGGCTGTGGAGCAGAAGAAGAGGGAGAGAGGGGAGAGAGAGTGAGCTTAAAAGAGGCTGAATGACATTTTAGGCTCTCCACACCCAAATCTCTGGAAAATTCCTTCAGTTTTCAGGCTGCTGCAGAGCCGGCCTACGCTGAGAGCGACTTAGGGAGGAAGGAAAACGCTGAATATAAGCTGGACACAGTTAAAAAGAAGAAGTAGTAGTAGAAAGAAAGCCAAACGTTAAATGTTGGATTCTGTATTTCAGCTGCAGTTGCAAGTGTTGTGAGAGGAGATCCAGACTAGATAACCTTGGAATTTGGGTTAGGAGGTTATGTGTTGACCGAGGTGACTTGAATGCAGCATTGTGATATCTAACATCGTGGACAGCTTCAAGACAGAAGAGAAACTACCACTGTACCACGACAGAAGAAGATCCACGTGTTCTGGAAAAACTGACCTATTTCCTGTTAAGGAGCATCTATTACTTTCTTCTCGTCTGTCACCCTGGGGAAGGCAACGCTCCTCCGATCCCCCCGATTTCCCCCTTCCTCTTCATCATCCTCACCATCATCGTCCTCGCCACCGCTGAGGACCATTTCAGCATCCCGTCGTGCCCTTACCTCAGGTATTAGGTGGAAAAGGCTCCACCTCCCTGGATCGCCCATCATGCACATCAAGACCACCAAGTGTAACCGCTTCTGCCTGGTCGCCTCGGTGACCAACCACGAAGTGTTCAACCGTCCTGAGGCGCAGGTAAAAGAGCGCTCTGCTTCTAGTGTTCCTTCTGCAAACCAGGTTCCTTGAAATTTATATAAAACCAACATCACACTTTGGTTTATTCTTTACATTTACTTTCTGAAGACACCAATTTTTACTACAGGAAAGCATTTTTCTTGTTTTTAACTTAACTTTTAACTTAAGGGCTGCAGCAAACTATTTTCATTAATAAACACGCATCAACATAGCCTATGAAAACAATAAGGTCTTCTGTGGCTCTGAAGGAGCTTTCTAAATCTCTGGGAAATGATGATGTCATAGTGATGTCATCGGGGTTATCTCGTCTTGGGCTTGAAGATTATAAATTTACAACCAAAAAACCCCACACTACAAACTGAAGCGATGCAGTTTCAAAGATGGGGGCATTTAACAGGCAGGGTGGGTTTAAGGCAAAGATGCTATTAGGTTGCATTATGGGAAATGTAGGGTGCAGCTCTTTTTGGAACTTGAGCCATAAGAAGGGCTAAAAGTCAGTTCTAGGCCTCTTTTATTAATAATCTCACTCTTGTGAGTCTAAGTGGAAGTTCAATACTAAATCACTGGATTACTTTAAATGAAGTGTTTAGTCAATAAATGTCAGAGAATCTTTTCAGCTCTAGCATGAACAAAACCTCTCAAAGTACATTTGGACCATTACGTGACCAACACTACAGGTCTAAATTTGGGGTAATAATATGAATAACTGGGTGAGGATAAATACTTGTCGTCATTATGTTGCAGTAAAATCCATTAAAGCTTTTAAAGGGACAAACAATGTAGAATTAATCAGTTGGGCAATATTTAATTACCCAGCTTAATTGAAGTACATTAATGATACAGGTGTGTGTAAATATGTATGTCCTGGGTTCTTTTCTTTCCAAGCTGTGTTTGAGGTCCCTAAGAAACATGTACATACGTGCTGAATCAGTACAGTCTGTACAAGACTGCCATTCTTATCCTTTCTGTCTTACTTCGATACATGGTAATGTGTTGTTAATTTTCATTTGAGGCAGAGCCTCCTCAAGGTTTCTGGGAAGGGAAACTGTTGATATAAGTGAGCAGATTATCTGAATTTCATTGAGAACCAAATTGGGTGTTGTGTGTTTTTGGTTTTGTGTGGTAATGAGCAAATCGCAGACCTCCTATGGCCAGGCTGAGTACTCCTTCCTCCTTTTAGTTCATCATGACTCACTGCACAAATCCGTGGCCAGTGATGGCTCTTGTGCTGCAGTGCAGTCCAGTGCAACAACACACTGACTGTTCACTGCAGGAGGGGGGGATGACTCGTGAAATACAATTTGTATCCAAATATTCAAACTGTGATGACTGCAACAGTTTGACGTAACACAGTCCGCTAGACAGAAGATATATTAATCTGTTGGATTTGTTGGCACTACAGAAACACTCAATCCACTCACGGTTGTCTGATGTTACAATGCAATGCTTCTTTCATCGCATCGATCATCATCATGATATCATATCATTGTAGAAAGTGTTCTTTTGGCTGCTATAAACGTATTTCTGTAATTAATCTTAATTGGTGACAGCTGACGTGATTTGCTATTTGTCATTTTAACTGGTTAAAGTGAACGTTAGTCAGCTAAAAGTGTGAATCTGCTAGCTGAATGTTAAGTACACTGCTCATTGCTAATAAGAGAGGAGAGATGGCAGATTTGTTACAGTTGTAGTTTAACAAATCTGTATATTTTGCCAACTGTGGTGTAACAGCAGAGTCAGTCACTCAGTCATAGTCAATTTCATATTCTAAAGATTTAAGAATATATGCAGGACAAAATCAGTATTGGAATTAAAAACTTGGTACCCTAGAGTGTAAATAACTTTAAAACATTACCTATATGGCCAAGAAATGACCAAAATACCAAACAAGAGAAAATGACATCAAATAGCTATTCATCATTCAGGCCTTCTGTTCTTTTAAGAAGCAGAAAATGTTTTCAGCTTGCACAGATCTATCCACACCTCAATTTGCACCTATTTGTATGTGCAATGAAATTTGCATTGCATTGTTTGACGACTATGTGACTCTGATATGCGGTGTTGACTAACTCGCAAAGTGAGACGTGAACTATGTTGATGTGAAGAATATTTTTACACCTCCCACAGTTTCCTGTACTGCTAAGGGCCACCTTTCAGCCATTTCTGGGTACTGGACATACAGAGACAAACATGACATTTGTGTTCTGAATTCTGATGTTTCCCACAATGTTCCTTTCGCTGTATTGTGTTCTTTGATTTAGTTTGATGAGGCACGACAGGTTGTAACAAAGGCTCTTTGCGTCACGGCGGCTGAAGTGAAGGCAAACCAGCAGTTAACTGAGGCTGAAGGAGTCATTTCTGTGGCTGGGCTGTGCAGACACGATCATTATGTCAAGAACCCTGCACTCTAGCACCGTTATGACCGTCTGCTGGAGCTCTGCAACAGCTCATCATTTTGTCTTGTTGTTTACACACTGACCCAACAAGCCTGAGATTGAGAAGACTGAGTGTTTTCATTAAACAAGTGAATGTTTGTAGCTGCTACTTTGAGGCGTGGGTGTATTAACTAGCATCCATGATTTCAGATATGCTGCCATCTCAAGTGTGTCTGTATTAATGTACTTCTGTCAGCCATCGCTGTTTGTGTGCGTGTCCTCTTGGAAGTGGTAGCCAAGGTCAGCTGTCTATTTAATTTTTCTCTCTTAATTAGTGTCTGTGACAATAATTGGTCATCTTAAATTGAGGCCATAGCTCTGCCTCTCTGACGCACACACAGTCAGACACCCACAGGCTGCAGGCTCTCTTGTGCAAAGAGGAGGGACAGATAGAGTGTCTGGTAATAGAGGCTATTTTTACTAATTTTATTCATAGCGACTTCAAGTCTCATAACTGTATTCATGGCTGCCTCTGGCCCATAGTGTTTAGTATTTATAGATAAGAAGAGAAAGAAGAGCTGAAAGGAACAAATCAAGTGGAACTGGAGGAGATGGTGCAGAAGCTGGTCTAATTTTCCTGATTTCAATCATCATTTCAGTCTCCTCCCCCTGTTCACTCCCCTCTCCCTCTTTCTCTTCAGGCCAATTTTGAAGCCTTGTTCCGTTCATTCGACCCAGAGGTACAGTTCCAGTACTTCAAGTCTTTCCGGCGGGTCAGGATCAGTTTCAGCGATGCTCTGGCTGCGGCTGAGGCGAGACTCCGACTCCACAAGACTGACTTCAACGGCAAAGAAATGAGACTCTACTTTGCTCAGGTAATATCTTTGAAGTGCATCTTTTTCCACCTGCTACACTGATCTAAAAAGGCCAACTGAGTCAGACCCTTTAATCTCTCCTTGCAGTTTGCTGTAATTTTGTATATGGAACTAAAGACTAACAGGGGATCTTAACAATTTACTGACATCACCTTTATCACCTTTTTTTGTTTCACCTCTGGCTGCCATTTTGTAGTTCAGTGTTCAATATTAAATCAATAAACATTTAATTATGAAATAAGTAATAGATTGTGTAAAATATATCAATGAATAATTTGTGTGGTGACAAATAATTTATGTAATTTTTCATATGAGTGGGGATGTCATTGTCTCCTCACTTTTCAGCCAATCACATGCTTCCAGCTTCACATAACAAATTCACGGTTGCAACTAAATTTAGCAGATTAGTTTCTATTAGCTAGAGCAGCAAAAATGCCAAAGTTACTCTGAATCAACCAACTAGGACCTGCTGGTGTAACAGACACCAGCAGACATAGTATAACCTCTTCTTCTCTTCTATTAGGCCTCCATATTTTTGAACCACCAACATTCAAATATGCCGAGTGTATTTTTATATCAAACTCCTTTTTCTACTTATGGGTCCCCAAGACTCACATCTGCCCTTCTGTCTGCAGTCTGTCCACATAGGAAGTCCTCGGCTGGAGCCCCCAAAGCCAGATAAGCAGTTCCTGATCTCTCCCCCTGCCTCCCCTCCAGTCGGCTGGGAACAGTCTAAGGACGCCACACCAGTCATCAACTACGACTTGCTGTGTGCTATCTCAAAGCTAGGACCAGGTATAACAGAGTTCCCGTTAATCACACAACAGCTTCAGTTTTGAAAGATGCGTAACATCCGTCTGTGTGTAGCTCTGATAATGTCAGGGAGTTTTGTAAAGTGCACAGCCTTCGATTCATGCAGCTGCTAATTACAAAGTGAAACATAAGGAGCACAAATCAAAGCTGACATGAACGGTAAGAGGAGTCTGCAATTGGCCAAGACTCTCTTGGATAGAGCATGATTAAATGATTACTCCACTTCTTTTCAGCTTTTTCTCAATTTCTTTAATGATAGGAGTATTGATCCAAAAATGGTGCAAAATCCATCAGCGCTCACTTTATCTCCAAGGCAACCAGTCCAGACCGCCCAGGACTGTCTGCACAAACACAGACATCAAAAACCTCCTTCTGCCAGTGTTTAACATAGCTGGTTATTATGACTAATTTGGGTATAGTCATTGTTTTGAACTTTTTTGAGTGGCATAAAAGTATTCATAGTTTGGTTGTTGTGAATCACAACAGTACATGCAGTATTGTGTTGGCATATCTATAAGACAATGTTACTTAACACAACACAACACAACACAGCATGCTAAAATCGACACTTGTTATTGTAGAATAGTAGAAACAAATAAGAACTTTACTGTAAGCAAACAACCTGGTGACGGTATTTTAGAGCTTTGTTTAAAGAAATTAGAAATAGCTTTTTGCATAGTCAAAGTGGGATTCTTCAGTCGTGACTGCTCAGTGTTGTAAGATAAGGACCTCAATTATGTCCACCCACTGAATCAGCCAATGTTAGGCCTTCAATGTGCATGTCATGGCTGCATCACAGCTTAAAGGACCATAGCAAGGTTTTTTTCTCACTGGTCATCAGTATCACTGGTTTTCTGTACAGTTAATTAATTTCAGACCACATCCTGCATTGTGACTATACTTCCTCCATGTGTGACTCCCAGGGGAGAAGTACGAGCTCCACACCGCCACGCCCACCACCCCCAGCGTGGTCGTCCATGTCTGTGAGGACGAGCACGGCGAGAGCTCGGCCCCCGACGACAGCGACCAAGACGACAAGCCCAGATCCCCGCGGCCAAAGATCATCCAGACGCGCCGCCCTGACTACACGCCCGGAGTCGAGCAGTGAGCGACGACAAGCAGGGGGCGCAGTGTGACGGCTGTAACATTTCATCCTGAAGTGATTGGTCAAGAGCTCAACACGCTCTCAGAGCTTTGAAGAATGTTTGGGGACTTTGGGAATGCACCTGAGGGTGCTGCGATGTCCTGTAGACGAGCATTTCATAAGACGGAGAGAGAAAACATAGTGGCGAATGCTGCATTCATGTCCAGTGGGAAAAGATAAGAGATACGAACTTCCTAGTGGGAAAAAAAACTGTTCAGTTTAGCCATCAAATGATATGTACATGCTCGTGAATCTGAGGTTTTGAGTTGGAACTGAAGGAAATATTAGTTTTGAAGTGCAGGAATTAACATATACTAATGTTTTGATTATAGTGCTTCAGTACATTGCAGGAGACATTGCTGGATTTTTGGTTTGTGGTGATATTTTGCACAAAAAAACGAAACAAAAACTGAAATGTGCCGTGACTTAAGTTTGTGTGTTTTGTGAGAAGAAGCTGGTCAGGTGCAAATAAAGTCCTTTTACAAGACTATTACAGTTATTTGAATGTTGGTTATTCCCACATGACATGAATGCAGCATCATTCTGACAATGTCATGTTTGCGTTTTCCTCATGTAGAGTTTGGGACTTAACAAACAGCCTGAGGAGGGAAACGACTTTTGAATTGATTTTATTTTAAACATAACTTTTTCGACTGTTGATTTATGCGAAGGTGCTACATATGTGTGTCAGTCAGCTGTAGAGTTTACACGCCGCCGGCATGTGCTTTTTTTGCATCTCCTTGGGTTGCGTGCTCATGTCGCCGCTGCAGCTCCCCATTACTCTCCACTGCTGTTTGATGTCACAGCTTCACCTTCGCAGCTGTTTTTGTGGTGGACGTGTGGTCAAGTCAAAGCTTGCCTGACTCACATTTTACAGGCGAGCCCCTGGTGTGTACTGCTTACATTAAAACGTTTCAATACGAGGAGTTTGCACCCACAGTGTTGTTCCTGTAATGACTTCTAACAGTGTTATCTGGGGATTATTTCAGTTTCGGTACTCTGCCTGTCTGTCTGTGCTTTGTAGTGTAGCTAAGAACTGTTGCTGTTTTGACATTTAATGAAGCTAAATTATGGCTTTACAAGGCTTTTTATTTCTGAATGTAGAACACACAACCAGCCCCTATTCATCTGAGGGCTTCAACTACACCAACCATGGTATTGTGTCGGTTAAAAAAAAAAACAAAACAGGGCTAACTACTTGGGCTAAATAGAATTGTGAAAGAAAAGAAAATACAACTGAAGCACTGTTATTCAACCTATGACTCAGGGCCTTATACTCTTGCTGGCCTCTTGTGGTGGGTCCTCATTCGATAAGAGTGCTTGTATGTTTTAAGGAGATTAGCGTGTTGCCTGCTCATGTACAGGCTCTTAGCTTGTATTACACTTGTGTGTAGGAAAACATGCAACTGGAGTGTGTGTGTGTGGAGTGTATGGGTCTGTTGACAGGTGTGTTTAACTGTTGCTTCCCCGTTAGCATTGGATGTTTGAGCCTGCTGCACACGCTGTCGTTAAAACTGCCCTTATTAGTGTTACATTAAAGTTCTGACATGATGTTGTTACACACCTACTTCTGTCTTTTATTTGAGATTTGTAAAACCTAAAACATTGCAGAGATTTTAATTTTTTTTTTTAATACTTCTGTGTGTGTGTGTGTGTCTGGTGATAAATTTGTATTTGCACTTAGCTTATCTGCTGTGTTCTGTTGCTTTATTAGTTTAATAAGAAAAGTGAGTCCATTAATTTTTACATTTTATTTGCGTCAGTGTGGGGCCCCAAAGGCTAGTTTAAAGCTATTTTTTCAGTTAATGTTGTGCTTCCATGGTGCATTTAGCTAAATACTACATTTGTGACAAAAGCTTCTGATGTGGAAAACTGTCTCACATCACAAATCATACGATTGTTCATCACTTGACACAGTTGACCTTGTTCACACAGCTCTTTTCTTTCCCTGGCCAGTATTGTCTGTTGTCTTGGCTTGAAGAAGCTGTATTTTACTCATAATGGATCAGATACAAGTAAAAACTGCAATTAAAATACAACTTTAAATGGGTTAACAATGAAATGAAAGCTGCTCTTACAGGTATCATCAGATGCATCCTGTAGAATGTAATAATTAGATGGTGGGGGGGGGGAAGGTGATTTATCACAATTATTTGTAGTTCTAAGTTGCTGCAGGCTTTTGTTTTAGTTGTGAAGCCTAAAGAAATGTCTGTTTTTCTTCTAGAGGATCTCATTCAAGCTAGCATTCATGGGAGAACGTTGGCTTGTGGAAGCAGCACTGTGAAGCACATGACTCACTGCCAGCAAGTCAGAAAGCTCATCTGTCCCACATTAGAGGACGAGAGGTTGCATAAGGCTCTGTCAGTTTAGCTACTTTTTTACTACTGGTATTTTAAGTTCATTTATCTTGGGGAAAAAAAAAAAAAAAGTAATTACCATGATTGAGTTACCATTAAATAAAGATTTTACCATCTCAGTTTATGTGTCTCCTTGTGTTTATATTAAAATCACTGTCAGTTTAACCTCATGTTGGGGCTTTCAGCAACAGGTGTAGTTTACTCAGTTGTCATGGAGATGTGTATGGGGCAAAGCTCACCAAGAAACCTGTTTGAGATATTAAAATACAATTTCTGTTGTGAAGAATAATCCTTTGATTTAGTGACATTTATTGGTGTAGTTGCAGATTGCAAGCATTTGAATACCACTGAGGCTTCCAAAGGTGTAGGATAAACTACGGTGGCTGCCAATCTTGGATACTGTAGAAACATGGTCAACTGCTCTCCTATAGTTAAAAACTATCCAAAGACTTATTCTAAGGTAACAAAAACACAACAATTCCTATATTCAGGTGATTATACACTAATGAAGACATAACTGATTATATATTCAATTCCTGCCAGTAGATCTGACTTAATGTTACACACTGGACTTTTTAATATGTAAATTGGGAGGTTTAGAATAATAATGATGAGTTGACCATCACAGGCATCAGATCAGGATGAAAGTTTATTTTCCCAAAAGTCAAAGTTGCATTTATGAATATAAAGAGGAAAAAAAAAACCCACATGGACTGAAGAAGTGAGGAGTGATCAGGTTAATGAGGAGTGACAGGCTGAAAACGAGAGCCAATCAGTGACGAAGAAAAGACGGGAAAGGAAGTGAGGTGGATGGAAAAAGGAAGTGAATAAAATAAATAAAATAGGGATCTTGACTACAATATACACAGTTGCTCAATGTGTCAGAACTGTGTAAATTAAATGCTATTTATTCACATTAGTATAATATACAGTGAGTGTGCACAACGCTTGAGTCCATCCCTCAGGACATAGAAACCAGAATATAGATAAATATAGTCAGATGAAAACATGTTTTCCTCTTTGCCCACTTTATTATTCCCAATACCCCCCCAGTGTACCAATGACTCTCCACCAGCGAACAGACTCTCTTCCTGACTTCGCTCCAGTCAGCGAACTGACGCGATGACGCATCCGCGGCGGCTGAAAACGTTCGCGCTCATCCGGATACATGAACCTGCTTCATGGAGACATGAGGAGGACGAGAGGAAGAAGGAGAGAGACTGGAGGAAAAGAAGACGAAGAACTGGAGTTTGTTGTGTGTTATAAGGTCAGTGGGAGGCCGAACGGCCACACAAACAAACAAACAAACACAGGGTCGCTGTGTATGTTGCTAGCGAGCTAACAGCTATGCTAACGTCGGTGACTGTAAACAAACAAACAAACAAACAATCGGTCAAATTCACTCGAGTTACACGAGGTGACGATGAGAGATTGTTGTGAGAAGGAACGTGGTGTTTTAAACTGTTGTTGTTGTTGTTTTCCTGTTGTTATTGTCAGAGGAAGTCAACGCCACCTGTTGATGAGCATTCAGTGAAAGCGACAAGCGAACAGCCTCTCGAACAACAAAGACTAACATAGTGGTTGTTTATTGATTGTTGGATATATTGATCGTTTGTACAGGGGCTGTTTGCTCTGTCAATAATTAGTTGTAGTTTTATAATAATGGATTCATTCTGGACCATATGACACAACTACATGTTGCTAGGTAATAAATGAAGAGATCACAACAACGACTGATTATTATTGATTATTGATTGAATTAACTATTGTCTGTTTGTGATACAATTGGCCACAAAGTCTGACTTTTATTCCTCTAACTATTTTTAGATTTCAGAAATCAAAATAGGACATTTTGTGTTTCCTAAAAACAAGAAATGTCAACAGTCACCATTAATGTCAACATGAATCATCTTCTTGTCTTAAAGAGTTCCTGAAGTTTGAGCTGTGTTTTTACCTAAGATGGTTACTTTATTATGCAGCATTATTATTTACATTTTAACAGCATTGTTCTGTCTGTGATACAACTTTTCCTTCTTTGATTTTTAAAGATACAGAGTAAAATGTGCTTTACATCTTTCAGCATTTGTTGCTGTGGTTGGAAATTATTATTTCTACAGAAAATTATATTTTTTAGAGTCACCCAAATGACTTAACATCAAATGTCTATATGTCTATGTCTTTATGTTTTTACAATCTGTTAGCTCAGACTGTTCAATGATGTCTGTTTTCCAGTTGTTAGTAAGCTGTCAGAGAAACTCTCTGGGTGTTCCCACATGTCGTGGAAAAAATAGAAGTTTCACTTGACTAAAATGTTTTTTCACACCTAGTTGTACTTTATTATGATGACCTTGGTCTCTACATCCACCTTGAATCCACGCTGGATCCACCCTTCCAGTGGAATCAGGATTATTATTACCACCTCTGTTTTCAAATACCCAATTTTGAGATTTAATCCTGTCAGGAGACTTCAGGTCCAAATGGACCCAGGTCCCAGTATTGGGATATGGATTTGGTAATCCAATCCTACCTAGAATCCAGATCAACCAAGAACCACGCTGTGATCCTTCCCTTCCATGTTGTCCGTACGAATCTACTGCCAAAGCTGTTGTCATCTATAGTCCTCATTCTTGCACAGTATTGATTGAACTGCTTTAATATTGATTCATGTTAAGTTTTGCAGTTATTCACTTTGACCACTGAAGGGAGCTCTTCGTTGAACTGAACACTATTATATTATTAGATTTAAAATATAATCTAATCAGAATAAAAAATCTGGAATAACAAATTGAAAAACTCAATTTAAGTATAAGTATAAATACCCAGTTTTTTATTTCATCGGAGTGTGAATTGAATGACAGATTATAAATGAAGCTTTTACAAACATACACAGTAGGCTGATATCTCAGCATTTGGTTCACTTCAAGAAAAGTAAGTCTTTATTTTTTGCAGTGTATGCACTGTATACAAATAAATAACACAAGAAATCCACAATGCAATTCACTTGTATGTGTAAAACTGTGAGTGAGTTACATTAACATTTATCAGTAATCAACAATAACTTCAATAAATTAATAATAATAATAATAATAATATATACAGTAAATGATAAGAAATAAATGGCAATTCAATAACACTAATGAACTGCTTTAATATTAATAAATGTTGAGTGTTGTATAGTGTTGCTGTTATTCACTCTGACCACTGGAGGGAGCTCTTCATTGAACTGAACACTATTATATTACATTTCACTTCTTAAAAGTTAAAAATATATCAGCTAGAAAATTGTAATTTAATTTTTACATTTGGTGCAACATAGAAGATTAATAATGATAAAAAAATATAAAATGATAAAAAAAAAAAAAAAAACACGTCTGTCAGTTACTCAGATTAGTACCTTGAATAAAAGTTTGAAAAACTTGACTCAGACCTCAATTTATTAGTGCAAATGAATTAATTATAAAGCGTACAGCTGGATAATGTCCGATGTGGCTCCATGTCTGTACTGATCACCTGCACTCTCTCTCCTGCCTCCAGGGTGTGCAGGTGAGTCATGGGACACGGACACCACCACAGAAACACTTCAGTCTTTCCAGTCGTCACTTCCAGAGAGAGTGAGTGAGTATTGTTATTGCTGTCTTCTCAGCTGAAGGATTGTAAATAAACTGATAGGTCAGAAGTTTAACTTTGTGGTATTCTTCTTCTTATTAGTATTAGCATCAGTGATTCTTTCTATATTTAAAATAAAACTGGATGATGTCTATCTTGTCTGTACTAATCACCTGCTCTCTCTCTCTCTCTCTCTCTCCCTCTCACTCTCTCTCTCTCTCTCTCTCTCACATCCTGCCTCCTGGGTGTGTCAGCGAGTTGCAGGACACGAGTTGGGACCATCAGCTGACCAGTTGCCATTTAAAAAAAAAAAAACACTTCAGTCTTTCCAGTCGTCACTTCCAGAGAGAGTGAGTGAAATGTGTTATTTCTGTGTGACTGCAGAATGATGGATTAGAAATGAAGCTCTTTGCTTCAGAATGCCCTAGTTAGTTTATGGCTGTATTATAGCATCATGTGTTAAGTGTTTTTACTTGTTCATTTCTTGCACAGTTAATGGTTTGGAGCTCATGTATGTTGCCCTTGAAGCTCAGATTGTGTCCTATTAGTAATAATAATAATAATAATACATTAAATTATTAGAGGCGCCTCTCTGGGCACTCGAGGACACCGTACAACACAAAAAAAACAAAAAAAACAGCAAGAAATAAGAAACAGATAAGAAAAGACAATGTAGATGGTTAAGTGGGGTAGGCAGTTCTGAATAGGTGAGTTTTTAATCTTGATTTGAAGAGTGTGAGAGAGTCCAGGTTCCTCAGGTCCGGTGGGAGTGAGTTCCAGAGTTGGGGGGCAGAGCGACTGAAAGCCCTGCTCCCCATGGTGATGAGGCGGGCGGGAGGGACAGAGAGGTGGACAGAGGAGGCAGATCTGAGGGAACGGGAAGGGTTGGCGATGTGGAGGAGTTCGGACAGATAAGGAGGGGAAAGGTTGTGGATGGCCTTGAACGTAAACAGGAGGATTTTGAAGTCAATGCGGAGTTTTACCGGGAGCCAGTGGAGTTGCTGTAGAACAGGGGTGATGTGGTGGATGGAGGGGGTTCTGGTGATTATTCGAGCTGCAGAGTTCTGAACCAGTTGAAGTTTATGGAGGTATTTGTGAGGTAGACCGAAGAGAAGGGAGTTGCAGTAGTCGATGCGGGAGGTGACAAGGCTGTGTACAAGGATGGCAGTGGAGTGGGGAGAAAGGGAGGGGCGGAGTCGATTAATATTGCGTAGGTGGAAATATGCAGACCGGGTGATGTTATTGATATGCAGATAATGTGTGCATCAGGTTGTAGGCAGTGTTCATTCTGACTGCACTAACTAAACTAGCTGGACCACATGTTCAGCTGAGCCATGCAGCATCTCCACAGGGTTGGAGGCCTTTGTTTGGCTGGTGGGTTAAAGGACCCAGAGATTGATTGATAGATTGTCTTTGTAATATTGATCACACAATTCATTTACATTGAATAAAACAAACAAACAAACAAACAATAGTATTTAGCACTGCCTCCTAATTACGGTCTGATTGAACTCCAAGTGAGCAGCAAACATACATTGTCTGCATCATAAAGAATAACAAATGTACTGTACACTTAACGTGCTCTGCTCTGCTTTGGTTCCTCGGAGCTCCGGCTGCGGTTTGTGACAGTCTCAACTTGTTTTAACAAACAGACTTTGTTAAACAGTTTGGCAGAGAACATAGTCGTGCGTTTAGTAAATTGACTTGTTTTCACAGAAATTAAAGAAAGAAATTCTGCAGCCAGCCACAGACCGCGGACCCTGAGGCTCCCCTGACCCAAAACCCGCCAGCCACGGCCCCCGGACAATCAGACGCTGCTGTAACCATCTTGCACCGTGCTGCTGCGGTATGTGTCTTACATTACTCCTGTATAGTCTAACACACATTTAAGTCATCCTAATGTGCTTTTTGTAGACACTGTAGGCCTTTTTGACGGGGGCGGGAATTTTAAAAACGGCTACCGCAGCATGTCGTCTTCTCGGCCGAGGGGTCGTGAAGGCCACGATTATGAATATAAACGGAGCTCAACTTCTTTCATCTCACTCTTTACTGTATTCTTCGCTACAGCGGTTCCCAACCTGGAGCCCGGGACCCCCACTAGGGGTCGCCAAAGCTTCACAGGGTGTCGCAACTTAAACAGGTGCTAGAAAAGTGTACACTTTTATTGTGGGTTTATTGTAGTTTTAATTTTAATATGAAATACCCCTCAAATATGTCCCCAAGCAGGGGTCGTCAGTTTACTAAATTATATATATCATAATGTGTCTATATTGCCGTATATGAGTAGCATGTCCTATCTGGCTCCATGTCAGTACTAATATCTCTCTCTCTCTCTCTCTCTCTCTCTCTCTCTCTCTCTCTCTCGTCCTGCTTCCTGGATCCCCCCTCTGCTCTTGGAGGGGGGACCCGATTGTTCTGATGTGTGTTGCCAGTGTAAATGCTCAATAAAATTATTTTAAAATCCATAACCCCCTGCTTCCATCTCTCCGGGAGGAGACACGGCCCCCTCCATTCCCTCTGCAGCGGGGTGAGACTCCAGGAACCCAGCACCCAAAGTGCTGCCAGTAGTTTTTAATTCAGATTCAGATTATCGGATTAGTTGTTTTTATTATTTTGGTTCTGCATCCCAATGACAGGAAACATTTTTTTTTAATTTTTTGTTTTAACAACATCCATCACCTTAGAGTTTTCAAATTCCCCATATATCTTAATCTCCTGTTTTCAAATACAGATTGGACCCCAGTATTGGGATAATCCAAATGGCTGCTGTGTGTGGGCAAGGATTCAGTGACAAATGGTCGATTCTGACCACTGCAGTAGCTGCGTATGCCACTAGGGGAGCTCTGACGTCATCAATTTCTTGCCGAAAGTGCACTTGTGGCGGCGTCTGCCAACCTCCCCTTGGCACAACAACATAAAAAGCTTCAAACATTTGAGCAAAATTTCAGCCGCTCGTGGCTCTGTGTCCGATAACCCCCTGCTTTGATCACTCCGGAGCATCGGGAGGGGACAAGGCCCCCTCCCTCACCCACCGCCGTGGGATCGATAGTCCAGGAACCGGCCGGGTGGTATTCGAACCAGCGGTTCCTCCACTGGCCGACCCTACGGTCACGAGACGAAGCCACCACGCCACCGAGCCCCCTTCGCACTAGAACCTGCTCTCTGGGCGCTTTCATAAGGGAATCGACCCCATGTCCTCAGGAGTGTCCATTAACCTACTAACACACTGCGCTATGTGTACGCAGACGCTTCTTCCTTGTTTCTTAGGGGCCTTCAGTCTTCTTCTTGGTGTTGAATTTCAAAATTCACAACGTCAAAGGTTTGAACCCACAACCTCCGAACTTCCACAAAGCCGTCTAACACCTTGAGCTGTTTGATCTGAGACGCTGGGGAGTTTTTTTTACTGTTTCCTTCAGACAACCGACTTCAAAATTCACATATTGGGATAAACATGAAAACCACAACCTCGGAACTTCCTGACAGTCCATCAGCACCGCGAGATATCTGACACGATTTCTTCTTGGTGTTTGATTTCAAAACTTTCAAATTCAATTGGGGATTGAACCCACAACCTCAGAGGTTCCAATCACTTACCTAACCCCTTGAGCTATTAGATTGGACACTGAATTTTTTTTTTCTCATATTTGACCTTTTCTTCTACATTGTTCAACTTCAAACTTCAGTTCATTCAAAAATAAACAAGGATTGAACCCTCGACTTGCAAGTTACTAGTCAGTCTCCTAACGCCTTGAGCTATTGGATCAGACATATTTCAGATTTTTTCGTCTGAAGTTTTCACTTTATCCTTTATCCTTATACGTTTTTTGAGTTTGATCCTCAATCACGTATATGAATTTTGAAGTCATGCCACTTCTTATCATGTCATATACGTGACTGAGGATCAAACGGACATCCACAAAACCTATATGTCCATAGAAGCCTCTTGTCCTGTCCAACTTTGAAGTTCAAAGTGTAGAAGAAAAAGTCAAAAGCTCAAATGAAAAACAAAATCACATGTCTAACTAAATAGCTCATGGTGTTAGAAGAATAACTGGAAGCTCTGAGTCTGAGGGTTCAAACCTCAGTCAACTCTATGACTTTTGAAGTGAAATGTTCGGAGATAAAGGTCAAATATATATTTAAAAAAAGGAAAGGGTAACTGAACAAATAGCTCAAGGTGTAATGAGGGTGAATGGTAGTTCAGAAGACATGGGTTTGATTCTTATTAAAAACTTCTGAATTTTGAAGTTAGACATCCAGAGGAAAAGATGTAAAGAGCATCAAGTCAGATAGCTTCTGGTGTTAGGAGGTTGACTGAAAGAGATTGATCTTCACTACAATTTATGAAATGTGAAGTGGGATGCAGAAATGAGAAAAGTGAAAAGGTCTAAGCCTTGTCTCAGGACAAATAGCTCACAGTGTTAGAAGGCTGGTTGGAGGTTTGGAGGATGTGGGTTCAAACCTTGCTGAAATCTTTAAAGTTGGCTGAGGCCAAGTGAGTTTTGTGGTCCAGCAGCCAAAGTAAAAAGATAAAAGCGCCCGGAGAAGATGTTCTAGCGTGAAGGGAGCTTGGTGGCGAGGTGTGGATGGTTGTAGCCAGAAGGCAGAAGTGTCTGGTTTGAGTCCCGCTCGGTGCTGGGTTCCTGGAGTCTCACCCCGCTGCAGAGGGAGAGGAGGGGACCGTGTCCCCTCCCAGGTTTCCGGAGAGATAGCAGCAGGGGATTATGGATTTTAAAATACATTTTATTGAAGACAAATGCATGGGGCACCCCTCTCCCTCCTCCTCCGACCAGTTGGCAATTTCCACAAGGAAGACATGAAGGCTTCTTTGCAGAAAATCCCAACTGGTCCGCTGATGGTCCCAACTCACGGTCCGCCTATATTATATTACTGTATACTGTATTATATTAGACACTACTGTATTATATTAGACACAACTATATTAGACACAACTATATTATATTAGACACTACTGTACTATATTAGACACTACTGTATTATATTAGACACAACTATATTAGACACAACTATATTATATTAGACACTACTGTACTATATTAGACACTACTGTATTATATTAGACACAACTATACTATATTAGACACAACTATATTATATTAGACAACTATATTATATTAGACACTACTATACTATATTAGACACAACTATACTATATTAGACACAACTATATTATATTAGACAACTATATTATATTAGACACTACTGTATTATATTAGACACTACTATACTATATCAAACACTACTATCTTAAATTGCACCAACAATATCTTCAGACTACGTCTGAGTTTTTGAGGTGTTTGTAACAGAAACCTGCAACAAACACAATATTCACTCACTCTCTCTGGAATTGGCGACTGGAAAGACTGAAGTGTTTGTGTCCCACGACTCGCCCGCACACCCTGGAGGCAGGAGAGAGAGAGAGTGCAGGTGATCAGTACAGACATGGAGCCACATCGGACATTATCCATTTTCAGCAGATTATTTTCTGTTTAGGGAACTTTTTAGACAATTTTGCATCTGTATTATTATTATTATTTATTTTTACCAATCATACAGACTTAATAGGCTTTTTTCTTTTGACAAAATCAGTGTTTTTCTGACCCTGACTCTTGCCCATTGTTCTATTAGACAATTTGCCTGATGTTTACTTTTCTTCACAGATGTGAACCAAATGCTGAGATATTATCTTTAATGGTTTCTAGCACCCCTTAAAATCAAGAAGGCCTTGCGACACCCGATGAAACTTTGGTGACCCCTTTAAGTTTAGATGATTATTGAAGACATTAAAAACATTACATTTAAAGGTGAGTTAAGTGATCGTTGGTAATGCTAAATTCAAATCCAATCCACTTTTTCCAAATGGAGTGAATATCTCCTCACGGTCTGCTAGCTTTCTGCTCTGTGTGCAGTGAAATAAATGTGGTATTTGAAAACAGGAGATGTGATCCGACCAAATTGAGATATGGATTTGTTAATCCACAATCCAGATAAAATGTTGTTTTTGGGTTGATACCATCATAAAGGTTTGTATTTATTTTATTTATTTAACATTTTCTGAGAGTTTTACACATGAAAGTGAATAGCTACTAATGGGTATACAGTACATACACTCTTTTCTATGTTATTCTTTCTAAGCTCTGATGCAGACAATGTAAGTTTGCTGCTCACTTTGAGTTCTGCTACAATCAGATCATAATTAGGTGGCAATACTGAATGCTATTTTTGGATTTTCAATAAAATATACTTGCTTCAACATGAAATGAGTTGTGTGGTCAATATTACAAAGACAATCTAAGAAATCTCTGGGTCCTTTAACGCATGAACCAAACAAAGGCCTCCAACCCTGTGGAGATGCTGCATGGCTCAGCTGAACATGTGGTCCAGCTAGTTTAGTGAGTGCAGTCAGAATGAACACTGCCTACAACCTGATGCACACATTATCTGCACTAATAGGACACAATCTGAGCTTCAAGGGCAACATACATGAGCTCCAAACCATTAACTGTGCAAGAAATGAACAAGTAAAAACATTTAGCAACACTTCCCTCATGCAGGAAATAAATGACTCTTCTTCTTCTCTGGATTTCCTGGTGGATCACAAACAACTTCAAGGTGCATGTCGCCACCTACAGCACAGGAGTGTGTAACATCATTTATCTACACTCCCCTCCAAAAGTATTGGAACAGTGAGGCCGATTCCTTTATTTTTGCTGCAGACTGAAAACATTTGGGTTTGACATCAAAAGATGAATATGAGACAGGAGATCAACATTTCACCTTTTATTTCCAGGTATTCACATCTGGATCTGATACACAACTTAGAAGATAGCACCTTTTGTTTGAACCCATCCATTTTTCATGTGAGCAAAAGTATTGGAACATGTGATTGACTGGTGTGTCCTATTACATGGATTATTCAAACAATCAATAGCGCTGAATGTCTATACTCAGTTTCTGATTTGGGTTTTGCCTGTGCAGACTGCATGTATAGTTAGAGGTGGAACCAACATGAAAACCAGAGGGCTGTCTATGGGTGAAAATGGAAAATCAATCAGAGCCATTGCACAATTATTGGCCATAGCCAGTGCAGCCAAAAAGTACAGAGACGACCTTAAAGATTCTGGGACAAAGTTTTACGGACTTATGAGAGATTAACCTTTACCAAAGTGATGGAAAGGTTAAAGTTTGGAGAAAGAAAGAATCTGCTCATGATCCCAAACATACAAGCTCATCTGTGAAACACAGTGGAGGTAATGTCATGGCTTGGGCTTGCATGGTTTCTTCGGGGACGGGCTCATTAATCTTCTTTCATGATTTAACACGTGATGGCAGCAGCAAAATGAACTCTGAAGTCTACAGAAACATTTTGTCTGCCGAATTTAAAGAAAGATGCAACCACACTGATTGGGAGGTCCTTCATCATGCAGCAAGATAATGACCCAAAACACATTGCCAAAACAACAAAGGAGTTCATCAGGTGCAAAAAGTGGAAGGTTTTAGACTGGACAAGTAAATCTTCAGACTTAAACTCTAAAGAGCATTTTACCTGCTAAAGAGGAGACTGAAGGGAGAAATCCCCCAAAACAAACAACTGAAAGAGGCTGTGGTGAAAGCCTGGAAAAGCATCACAAAAGAAGAATGCAGAAGTTTGGTGATGTCAATGGGTCGCAGGCTTGATGCAGTTCTTGCAAACAAAGGATTTGCAGCTAAATATTAAGGCTTATTCACTTTAATCTATTTTAAGTCTATCTGTTCCGTTACAAATAATCTTCTATCTTCTACGTTGTGTATCAGATCCAGATGTAAATACCTGGAAATAAAAGGTGAAATGTTGATCTGCTGTTTCATATTCATCTTTTGATGTCAAACCCAAATGTTTTCCGTCTGCAGCAAAAATAAAGGAACTGGTCTCACTGTTCCAATACTTTTGGAGGGGAGTGTATTTGTGTTCACGACTTTAAGAGACAACCAACCTACCACTGTTAGATATTCACTCACTTAATCCGCAACACAGCTGACAGTGAAGATATAAATCCAACAATGACAAACTTTTATACGATTCAGTTTCATTTATAGTAACATTAACTCTGGAAAGTGGACTCACCTGAAGACTCTTAGTAGTAGTAACTCGTAGTTCCCACAGACCATCAAACACACTCCAAGTCCCTTCAGCCAAGAAGTGGACGATGCCAGAGCTCCCCTCCAGTGGTCGACACAGCAGCTGCAGTGGTCCCTTCCACCAACAGTCAGCTGGGCAGTGAACTCAGCCGGTCTGGAGATGTGTCGCAGAGTCTCTCTCTGTGTGGTTCTTGGTTCATCTGGATTAGAAGCAGAGGATTATGGGATGAATAACCAGCAGCATCTGAAGTTTTACTCAAATGTATAAAGTATATTTTATGGGGTTTTCTGTGCTACTCTGGGGAGGCCGCCACATGTTTTGGACAGCAGCTTTCAAATTGTATGAAATTGACATGGTCAGTGAAATTTGCATGTTTTCTAGGACAGAGGGCTTCAGAGAGTTTCTCTGACAGCTTACTAACAACTATAAAACAGACATCATTGAACAGTCTGAGCTAACAGAGCGTTCAGCTTCAAATTCTATAAAACTTTTCATATTTAGCTTTCTGTTGATTACTTTAAGAGACAACAAACCAATCTGAGTTATTCACTCACTTAATATGCAACACAACTGATAGTGAAGAAATAAATCCAACAATAACAAACTTTTATAGGATTCAGTCACATTTATAGTCAACATTAAGACTGTAAGTAGTTGTATCCTATAAACTGGCTCAATAATAAAGACAAACTCAACTTTCCAACTATGTTCCTGTCAGATACACTGGTGGAATAATTCAATCAATCAATAATCAATAATAATCAGTCAGCAGATCTGATCTACCAACATGAAGTTGTGTCATATGATCCAGAATTAATCATAAAAGAACAACTAATTATTGACAGAGCAAACAAACCCCTGTACACACGATCAATATATCTAAAATCTAATGTCTGAGTAATCTGATTACTGCCGTTACTGCTCCACAAGAGGAACGTTACAGTGTTAAATCAGTTAGTGATGTGAGACAATGACAGTAGTGTGTCCTGTAACCAAACATATTTAAGCAGGAGAAAAGATATAACCACTATGTTAGTCTTTGTTGTTCGAGAGGCTGTTCGCTTGTCGCTTTCACTGAATGCTCATCAACAGGTGGCGTTGATTTCCTCTGACAATAACAACAGGAAAACAACAACAGACATACACAGCGACCCTGAGTTTGTTTGTTTGTTTGTTTGTGTGGCCGTTCGGCCTCCCACTGACCTTATAACACACAACAAACTCCAGTTCTTCGTCTTCTTTTCCTCCAGTCTCTCTCCTTCTTCCTCTCGTCCTCCTCATGTCTCCATGAAGCAGGTTCATGTATCCGGATGAGCGCGAACGTTTTCAGCCGCCGCGGATGCGTCATCGCGTCAGTTCGCTGACTGGAGCGAAGTCAGGAAGAGAGTCTGTTCGCTGGTGGAGAGTCATTGGTACACTGGGGGGGTATTGGGAATAATAAAGTGGGCAAATGGGAACACAACAATTTCTGTAGCATTTTTATATAGAAAGTATTATATGTATACAATTAAATATTTATATAATGTATATAAAATCCATAATTCTGAAAATGTGACTTATTGTATAATTTGTCTGTTTTCCTGAGGAACCTTTCAAAGTCTTTACAGCATTGAAAGGGATTGAACTTCTTACACCTGGAGCCACAGGGAGAGACACTGTGACCCTCCTTTCTAGAGCTTTGTAGTCTTTCCTCTGAACGTCCATCTACACAATTCAGTGACACACTCTTGAGACATTTTAATGTTTAATGAGTTTGAAGGGGGAAATGACTGATGAGGAAACACTGTTTAATCTTTAACGTTGTATTTTTATCTGAAAAATAAAACACTGACGGGTCTGATTATGTAGAAAGAGAAGAATTTAATTGGATAAAACCTTGTTGACCTCCTTCCTCCAGCAGAAACTGATATTTAAACTTATAGTATTTACACTGTTGGATCTGACCGCTGACACTGACCGTACTTAGAAACGTGTGTTTGCTGCCCTCCAGTGGTCATAACGAGGAACTACAACACTACAATAAATCTGGTTTATTACAAAGATTCAAGGTTATTTTATTGTCCTTTATAAAACTAAGGCTGTCGGATTAAATTCAGATATTATTCCCTTTATGCTACTTTAAAAAATACTAATATTCATAAAGATAAGATCGTTTTCTGCTCGCTAACAGTTAGCTAACGTTATCACAAAGGTTGTTTATGGAGAACAGACGTTTCACTCTGTTCTTCTTTTTATTACCGGTAAAGATACAGCCCGATACTTATCTTACCAAACATTAATAATGATATAGAGTGGTGTATCTTCATTTAAAAGACATATTTGGACAATATACAGACACCTCTTTAGTAGAGACATCAATAAACAGACTAGTTTCTGGTATTTCATCAGTTACTGATTTTTTCAGTTGGGTTATGGATTTATTTTGAAAGCACTGACCGGAAGTGTTATCATTATGTGATCATGTCTAACTTGAGTGTCGCTTTGTTGTAGTTCCTCACTGTGACCACTGGAGGGCAGCAAACAACTCCACCAGCATAAAGACAGACAACCAGAAACTGATGTTAGTTATACGTATTTTTATTTAAAACTGAATAATGATAATAATAATAATAAGATGAAAACAACAACAATAATAATAATAATAATAATAATAATAATAATACTCTGAGTATTTTTTTATAGACCAAGAAAATAATAAGATTAATAATGAGATTATTATTATTAATGATAATGAGAGCTTTAGCTATTTATTTTATTATTTGTATATCTATGTAAAAAATAAATTTGCTTTCAGTTTCTGCTGTATAAATAAATGTTTTAATCATTAATCACCTTCCTGTTTTGTTTTGTATTCAGATAACCTTCAATAACAGGAAAAAATAAAAATAAAATAAACTCATTAAGTCGTTTAATTGCTTTGGTCGTCACACTGTTACAGCACTTTAGAAAACAAAAGCTACAAACAGTTTCTTAAATTAAAAGCTCAGGTAGCTACAGGAAAACTTCACACATACTCTTCTCAAGTTTCCTTTAAATCGATGTGTGTTCATAGTATTTCTGATACAAACAAGGCGGCTTTCAGAATCACAATCTTAAATTTTTACAGCTCACGAGGGAATTCACATTTCATAAAAACCACACCACAATAATACAGCTGCTTGTTTTTTCCAATTTTTGTTTTAAATCAACTGAGTGAAATTTGACTTTTGTGGGGAAATGATTCTGCTAATGTGGAAACATGCCAACATACAGACCTATTTATATATCATATTAAAGCATTTATCAACTCTGATGTATTACTATGGAAGCTGTATTTTCATGTTGTAGCTGCTGGAGGTGAAACTGCTTTAATT